TTTTTCACCACAGTTGACCAGAGCTCATATTACTGTGGATGAGCCATTCAATCTGCTTTATGCTGCCATCCAGTTGAGAACCATGATCTCAGGCTTGGGTATACTTCACACTTTGCCCATGAGGAAATGCACTATTTTGTAACTTTGTCACAGAGAGACTGCCACCACTTCTGACAAACGGTACAGGGATGTGTCCCTGCTCTTCCCAGCCGAGGCACCTCCTGGTCAGCACAACCACAGAGAGCCGTTTGTTTTTCTGTGCCAAGGGTGTCAAAGTCACCTACAAAAGGGGGCCAAAATTAAAACCTTTTTCAAATTAAGGGCCGGTTTCACAATCTACATTAACTCAAGTTAGATACCAACATCTTTTCTTGATTGCAGGTTCCTCAACAAGAGTTTGATTGGACTCATTTGATGTTCTCTGTTGTACTTTTGACATAATAATCAAATATTACTGAAAAAATTAAAGCGATAAAATAATTTTACATTTAAAATATCATGTTGAGGGCCAGATAAGATGTCAACGATGGCCACATTTGGCCTCCGGACTTTGAATTTAACATATATGCTCTATGCTGTCTCCTCCATGCAAACAAATGTCCAATCTCCTTTCATGAGTTATTTGACTACACTTTATCGTTATTTGACTATTTTTTTTAAAGTTTTGCTAAAACAGTTGAAAAAGCCATTTGCAGTAGAAAACAGCCACTGCAGCCATTTTTCTGCATAAATTCTGGCCAGTCACACAATACTTGGTGCAGACCCTGTAAGATAATAGTTCTGCCAGGGGGCAATTCACAGAAACGTCTCAGGGGAAGTGTGAAAAGCAAAATATGCCCCTTTTTTTTTGCACAGAAGCATTTCTCATGAGTATAAACCAGACTTAGGCACCGTCTACTCTACTCTAGCTAATTATTTCCTCCATTCACGCAACCTAACACAAGAACACTCAAAAATATACTGTCAACATCAAGTAACATGGAGAAAAAACAGTGACATCTAAATTTTTATTAAACTTTATTTAAAAAAGCACAGAAAATAGACCAGCTGGTGTTTCCCAAGCCTCGCCATCAAGACACAATGCACGGTTTTAAATGTTTCCCCTTTTATAACCCAGCTGAATTAAATTGACAGATAATTAACAAGCTTCTGAAGAACGTGATAACAATCTGAGGTGGTAACTTTTACATGTGAAAAAGATGTTCAGGACAGGGGGCCCTGAACACCACATTTGACTACATCAGTGCTAAGAAGTTAATCAGTGGTAAACTAGAAAATGATAAGGTACTGTAGCCTTCATGCTTGCTAAAGATGAGAGTTCTGCAATGGAGTTAAATTCAAAGCAGTCTGCTCCTCAGATAAATGTTAAATTATTATTTTTATATATGAATGTTTCTGTTCAGTGCCCTGAGATGACTTCTGTTGTGACTTGGCGCTGTATAAATAACCTGAATGGAATTGAATTGTATTTTATTACATAGCAGCATAAAGTTTACTTGTTCCTGTGTAGATGAAAAGCACTGTAAAGCAATACAATACATTTTTATTTTTAAAGCACTTTAAATACAGCACTGATGGCTAAAGTACTGTACACTGATTAACACATAAAAGCAAGCAAAAAACTAGAAAATCAATTAAAACCGTAAAAATACTGAACTGTTAAAATCATAAAAACGGTAAACAGTAAAAACAATAAAAAAATAAAAATAAATTATAAACAGTAAAACTAACATTTCAACCTGAGTTAAAAGCCAAGGAGAAAAAAAAAGTGTTTTCAGAGAAGATTTAAAAACAGGAAGTGAATCAACTTATCCGAGGTGCGAAGGCAGCTCATTCCACAATTTAGGGGCAGCGACTGAAAATGCTCGGTCACCTCTCAGCCTTCGCTCTGATATTGGAACAACCAACATCAACTGATCTGCTGACCTGAGTGAGTGTAAGGGAATGTACAGCTGGAGCAGGTCGGACAGATACTGTGGGGCAAGACTACAAAGTCAATTAAAAAATCAAATAACCTTAAAAATAATCCTGAAACAAACTGGGAGTCAGTGTAGTGATTCTAAAACAGGGGTTATGTGATCTCGTTTTCTGGTACCAGTTAAAAGGTGAACAGCAGCATTCTGAAGCAGCTGAAGTCGAGTCAGTAATCACTGGCTCAGACCAACATAAAGTCCATTACAGTAGTCTGGATGAGTTGTAATGAAAGCATGGATTAAAATTTCAAAATGATGTCATGAAATAAATGGCTTGACCTTGGCCAGTTGTCTCAAGTGATAAAAGCTGGACTTGATCACTGATTTAATCTGAGCATCAAGTTTAAAATCATTGTTCAGCCTCATCCAAGTTAGTTGCTGTCTTAGTCAGATGTTGTGTAAAAGGACCCAGATCACTATGGACTTTGGAAACATCACTGGGCTAAAACATCAAAACCTCGGTCTTTTGCTCATTAAAATGTCAAAAATCCTGAGACATCCATGCACTGATTTCTGCAAAACATACCAGGGGTTGGTTCACAGAGTTTTATTTGTTTGTGTTGTTGTTGTTCTTGTTGTTGTGTGTGTTTATATATATATATATTTATGGAACATAAATTTGGCTGTCATCAGCATAAAAGAGACAAGTAAAACCAAGTTTCCAGAGAATATATCACACAGGGAAAAATTTAAGGGAAAAACGAAGGGGGGGTGGGGGGAGTGGGGGCAAGTAAAGATCCCTGAGGTACTCCACATGTGAGAGGCTCAATTGTTTTCGGTTCACCTTTTGGTCAACATTGATTTTATTGCTGCAATAATTCACTGGTCAAACCTGTGAAATAATGAAATTGATGAAGTTGATTATTTCATATTTCTCAACCAAACAGTTTAACATTGACTTACACAATAATATTATACTTTATTTTCTAATTTTGCAAATAGCAGTTTAGGGAGAGCATTCAGAATACCTGTAAATTGTACAAAATACAAAGCACTGAGGCTAAAGGTGGTGATGGGGGCCACATAAAATCAGTTGAAGATAAATTGGTTACAACCTAGTGCTGTTGTGCAACTATTTCACTACAGGAAAATGAACAGTTCCTTCAATCTGTACACAGTGTAAGGTTCTACACAAATACAGTGTTGCACACAATGCAGGGTCAAATGTTTGTGGCAAAGTAATGCACATATGTGTATTTATTCTTACCTTCCCAGCTGTGGCCATTTTACTGACTTTTTATGTAATCACAATCTAGAGAAAAATTCAGACGTGAAGTCTTCAGCAGAAATCAAGCAAATGAAAAGGAAGTCCAGCCCACTTTGATGCTCCAACACTGATTTGAGTGTTGATTTTATACTGGTCCCTGTGATGGACTTGTGACCTGTCCAGGGTGTCCCCCACCTCTCCCACAGTGACTGCTGGATATGGGCACAAGAGATCATTCCCATGGCACGAAAAGCAAGAAGTAGGTTAAAGATGATTAATGGATGGATGGATTGATGGCTGGATGGACAGACGGACGAATAGACAGATGGATGGATGGACTTTAGACTGAAGGGGTTCTTTCTTGCACAACCACATCACAGATCCCAAAAACTATTAAAAAAATTGAGTGTTTCTTTAAAAAAAAAAAAAAACAAAACATGATAATAATTGTAAATTCAACACTGAAATATTCGCATTCTTGCCTCACACACAGTAAAAGTATTTAAAATCACTTTCTGTGCATCAATTATGATAATAGAGGGATATTTAGAAGGAGAAAAACAACAAGGCAGTGATATTGCAGATATTTTCTCTTAGAAAACAAGCTCTAAATATGCAGTGCTATTTAGAAAGTGTTGCAGTTTTCATCTCGGAAATTAGATTATTGTATGCAGAGAGGTGAGGACTCAAAATACAGAATGAAAGGCAGAGGAGCTGAGTCGCTTATTATAACTTTAATAGTTAAATGAAACAAGCTGGTCTGGCAGCAAAAACACAATTAGAGGCCTAAAGTTCCTTGAAGGAATACAAATCACCTACAGCATTTAATGCAAGTTTTAGACTAAGATAATTTTCAAATAAAATATTCAGTTTTACTTGTTCTGTAATTTGAATGAGCCTCAACTACCACCACTTTGAATTTTAGTTCACTGGGCTCCATTGCTATTGTGGCCATCTTGTACTGGAGAGACCCCATGAGCTAATTTGTTGTAGTTGTACATTCAACAATTATAGTTTAAGAACCCCATAAATACTCATAAAGTAGGTTTTGACATTTTGTCAACAGCTGCCAAAAGGCAGCAGGTGAAAACTACATAAGAACCAACATTTTATTGAGTAACACTAGAGGCAAATAAACAATGACATCCAATAACAACCTTTTTAAACCTGTCAATGTAGGTGAAAATTAGTATAACTACAAATGTATTTGAAAAGGAATTTAATACAATTACTTATTCAACTAAACATTACATATACATATATGGGGTTCCACAAGGATCAGTTTTAGGCTCTTCACTTTTTTTGTTTATAGTTACTGCCATTAGGTAACACCATCTGTATACATAGCATCAATTTTCATGGCTATGTTGAAGACAGTTTTATATTGCTGTGCACAGAGTGGATTGTTGTAACCTGGATTGGTGACATTTTAAGAGCATTTTAGATGTTATGTCAATCATGACAGATACTTTTTTTAACTCAATCAAGACATACAGAAGTTTTAGCAGTTGCCATTAACCCTCAGAGCAAGAAACTTCAAGAAAAACTCAATTCTGGCAATGAAGAGCTCAAAGCAGAGAAACTGAATATCAACCAGGTTTAACAAATACAAATATAATCAGTCTGGTCTGTGTAAATAAAATAGACGATCACTTTAGACACAATTTAATATCCCACAACTAGTCATTTCAGACAATATAAAGGACTTTAACAAAGGGGAAAAAAAAACTATTAAATCCAAAAGCAATGAAACTATAAATATTGTTTTTTTCCCATCAACACATTTGTTTTAGCTTAAATATGCTCTATAGACAATGGATACTGAGTACAATGCATCATAGAGTGGTTATATCTTGAAGAAACTTGTCTTATTGTGGTGAAACACTCATGACAACCCGTACGCTGCAAAACAAAGAAACAAACAAAAATAGAAGAAAATGTAATTAAAACTTTAAATGCACTGATAAATGATTAAGATAAGAAAAAAATACCATTTGCCGTGCTTCATCAGCTCAATTGCATCATTGACTTGGTCCAAAGTCATGTTGTGAGTGATGAACTCATCCAACTGTATCTTCTTATCCAGGTAGGCTTTAACCATCCCTGTCACACCATCTTTGCTCTTAAACCCTGACAAACAAAGTGTATAAAGAAGTGCAACAGAACTATAGAAACCTTTAAGTAAAAGGTTATACTGTAGATGTGTTTATCTCACCTCCAAACAAGGAGCCTTTCCATGTTCGTCCAGCGATGAGATGAACTGGTTGGATAACAATGTCGGACAACTCTGTCCAACCAACAATCACACTGACACCCCAAGCTGGCACACAAGACTCCAAGGCACTGCGCTGTGAGGAGAAACACAACAAAGTCAGTGAACATGGTTTAGGTTTACAATATGTACAAAAAGTCATCAACTCTCCTCACCATGACTTCCACCTTCCCAACACATTCCACAGAGAAGTCCACTCCACCGTTGGTCATCTCAGCTAGCACTTCATGGATGGGTTTGTTGTGATCTTTGGGGTTCACAAAGTCAGTCGCTCCAAGCGCTTTGGCCTTTTCAGCTTTCTCTGGATTGACGTCAACAGCGATGATCCTTTTAGCTCCTGCAGCTTTGCAGCCCATGACTGCAGCCAAGCCCACAGCTCCCAGACCAAACACAGCACATGTGGAGCCTGGTTCAACCTAATAATGTACAAGAGTCCCAGAATTACTACAGTTATAGATTAAAAGTCACTATTTGTGATTGCTTATAACATTTATTTGGTACCAACAGGTCTTAAAACAGATTTGGGTAAAATATTTCCATAAATCTACAGTTTTACAGAATAAAGGAATAATAAAACAGTTTAAAGTGTTTTAGTAATACAGTTGCGTTTGGAGGTTTCTCCTACTCTCTTCAGAAGGAACTTTCAAGGTCAACCACGTAAAATGAAACTTAGTACCGCTTTTTAATCCTTCCAAACAATGGTCATCCATGTTCAGGTTCGCTCCAGAGGTTCAAACTCACTTCAAGTGAGTTTTGACAATATTGCAAAAAAGGTGTTTCGTCTTCGCTTCAGACATGTCATGCTCACTGAAGGTTTCTTAAACAGTAGGCCGTGATACTGACGAATGAATACAGCTACACAGCAGAAAAATCTCCTGTAGTGCATGATAAAATGGAAAATTCTAACGGGCAAGCTTGTTGATTATCTCTATACAGTTTTGTGGTTCCAAATGTTTCATTTCAGACTAATAAATAATTTTTGTGCTTCTTGACATGTTGAATGCTGCATAATGTTTGTTGTATCCCTCTCCTCATCGGTGATCGGTTCAAATTTTGTCCAGTATATCTGCAGAACAGTTCCCCAACTATGGGTTTGGTTTTAAATTGGAAATACACAATTATGATTAGACATATTGGTAGAGCAGAGATTTTATCTACGTTAAAGGAATTTAATAAAAATATACCCTTTGTATTCTCTTCCCAACAGTCTTGAAAACACACCTTTGCAGTATTCACTGCTGCTCCATAGCCAGTGCAGATCCCACAGCCAATAAGACAGACTTTGTCCAAAGGAGCATCAGGATCAATCTTGGCTACAGCAATCTGATCAATCACTGTGTACTCAGAGAAGGTACTGGTTCCAGTGAACTGCAGGATCTTCTTCCCTTTACAGGTAAACCTGGTTTCTACTCCTGCCATCACATCTTGACGAGTCCTCTTCCTGGTTAAGATAATTAAAACAATAAAATATTGACTATTTACCTTGTTCTGCCTAGTTAATTTTAAAATTAAAATAAAATAAAAGTTTAGATTGAAGAAAAATGGAGGGTATGACAGCAGAAAAGGCTCACCAGGCTAATTCACACTGGTTGGTCTTTGTACTCTTACAGAAGCGGCATTCTTTACACTGGGAGAGGAAAAGGGGAATCACCTTGTCTCCTGAAAATAAAAAAAGATTAACATTAGTCAAACTTGAGTCCATTACTGATGTACAGCTGGTTGGTTTATTTTACTCATAATTTCAACATTTTATTGTACATATAAACTTATTGCACAAGATTTGTTGCATGGAGATGTCTAAGAAGTGTTTGTATGCAAATTTAGAGCAGGCAGTCAATTCTTTAAACAGACATACTGATGTAAATGCCATTGAACTGATTGCACTAACTGATATCCATTGATGTAGCAAGCTGAGTGGCCCTAATTATGAAGCTTAACCCATGATAATAATCATAACTCCTGAGGCTTTCTCTTTTGCAGTACAGTTTGGAACAGACCTGGCTGAAATTCTGTGACTCCAGGTCCGACACTCTCCACGATGCCAGCAGCCTCATGGCCGAGGACTGTTGGAAAGCCGTCTTTAGGCATCCTCTCCAAAAGGTGGTACAGGTCTGTGTGGCACACGGCTGTTGATACAATCTGTGACAAAGACCAGGGAATAAAAACAGTGATGAGCTGGAAGAGAAGCCGATGGATGGATGGACTTTGCTGATCTCACGGCTGAGAAATTCTAGAAGTGATGAGCACCACTCTCAGCCCCGTTAGAAATATATTTCAACTAGCTTTGACTTTCAGGATATATTAGGGTTTGTTTAAATTTCAATAATTTAACCCCCCCCCAAAAAAAAAAATGCACAGTGAGGAAAATTACCGTACATGTGCACTGATAAATCTTTGCGGTTGGCCTCTTACCTTAATCCGAACCTCGTTGGCCTCTGGTGGGGCCACTTCAATCTCTTCAATCACCAGAGGCTTGTTAGGCTCCCAGGCCACTGCTGCCTTACATTTGATGACCTGAAGAGAAGTGACCCCCATCCCATCAATAAACAAATAAAAATTATTTTGACACAAATTTTTTTTCTCCTAATAACTATTTTAACAAGGGAGGAGACATTCATGAGTCATTCTGATCACATGCCTGAACCATCTCAGAAGATCCAATTGATGTAAAAATATAGCAGCTCCATTTTGAGCTACGCCTCTAATGATCTTAATGTCACTACTGACCTCGGCCACCCAAATGGGCAAGCTAACTTCAGCTTCTTTTACTCTTGGATCTTATTCTTTTGTTTGTGACCTATACATCATGATTGTAGGTGAGGTTTGGAACATAGACAAACCAGTAAATTGAGGGCTTTGCCTTGTTGCTCAGCTGTTTCTTTATCCCAGTGGACAGGAGACCTCATTACTGTGGACAAAGCCCCAAGTTGTTGATCCATCTTCTGCTACGTCCTCCCATCCAGTTGAGAACCAAGGTCTCAGATACAGGCCCCATCTACTTTACTCTAGCTATTGGTTTTCCTCCATTAACACATTCTGAAAATACACAGTGGCATGGTGGCACAGTTGGTAGAGCTGTTGCTTATCAACAAGGAGGTTGCTGTATTCAATTTTAGCTTGGGACATTTCTAGGTGGACTTTGCATTATTTTTCTGTGCATATGTAGGTTTCCTCCCACAGACCAAAAAACATGCTTGTTAGGCTAATTGATAACTCTAAATGTTCTCTAGGTGTGGGTGAGCGTGTGAATCGTGTATCTTGTTTGTCTCTATTGGCTTTTATGCATTGTAAGGCCCCTGCCTGGTCTGGACTGGCTCGATCCAAGTTCTGCTCCAGGTTTTGGGTATTGGCATTGGGCAGTCTGGCCCAGTTTCAGCTGGATTTTTGTAAACTAGAGGCCTGGGGTTCCAATCGGGCTGAGCTTGTGCTGCAGATGTGATGTCAGCAGACTGCTGGCCAATGGTTGGTTTGCTGGCCCGTGGGGGTCACGTCACAGATGAGTCATACTTCCAGGAACTGCTCCTTACCGCCATTTCCTTCAGTTATTTGCTTCTGGCTGGTTGTGTGATGGCAGCAAGGTGGTGCAACTGGTAGAGCTGCTGCCTCTCAGCGAGAAGGTTGCCAGTTCAAATCCCGGTCCGGGGGCCTTTCTGGGTGGAGTTTGCATGTTCTCTCCGTGCATGCGTGGGGTTTCTCCGGGTACTCCGGTTTCCTCCCACAGACCAATAACATTCATGTTAGACTGATTGGTAACTCTAAATCGTCCCTAGGTGTGAGTGAGAGAGTGAATGGTTGTTTGTCTCTATGTGTCCCTGTGATGGACTTGCGACCCGTCCAGGGTGTACCCCACCCCTCACACATTGATTGCTGGACATGGGCACCGGCGACCCCCGTGACCCAAAATGGAAGAAGCGGGTCAAAGATAATGGATGGATGGTTGTGTGATGGTTGTTGTTCTTTAGAACATATTGGCTAAGCAAATGATAGCACCTGTGCCCTGGATAAACAACTAGGTGCAGTTATTGCTGGGTTGAGATTTGTGCAGCCTTGCCCTGACAGTCCCGCCCACATCGAGGCAGCACGCTGCTAAAAGCAAACAAAACCAGAGCTGGGGAAGTTGTGGCTGGGCCGACTGTGGCCAGTCCAGGCCAGATCGGGCTTCACAATGCATAAGAGACAAATGTGTCCCTGTGATGGACTGGAGACTTGTCCAGGGTGTCCCCGGCCTGTCATACAGTGACTGCTGGATTTGGGCAACAGCAGGCACACATGGATGGATAAAATAAAAACACTGAAATCACATTGAAAACATTTAAAAAATATATATGGTGTCAGAATCAGTGATATCAATCTTTCTTATTCTTAATTAAAAAAAAAAGTGAAAGAACTAAAAAAAAAAAAAACTGGTCGTTGTGGTGCTTTGAAAATAATTTAAATGTTTCCTTTTTACACAGCTGATTTGAATTGATTGGTAATTATCAGGCGTCTGAGAAATTTGAAAAGCTGAGGAGACAATTTAATAATTTAAATGGGGTGTGGCCCTCAGGACCAGGGTTGGGAAATGCTGGATTACATCATCATGAGAAAGTTAATAGTTGATACATCTAGCTACTGACACTAACAGTGATAATTTTTTTTAAACAATTTAGTATAGACTTAACACAGTTATACTGGATTTTCTTATTAATACATATAGCAGGAAAAATATGCTGGACATAATCTTTGTAAGAAAATAATACGAAGCTCTGAGGCAAAAGGTGGAAGTGAGGGGTCAAAGCGAGTCAATGGCAGACTGCATGAAAAGGAACAGTTCCTTGTATCTGTAGTCTGTGTAAGGTTCTACAGAAATACAGTCTTGCACACCATGAAGACCCAATTATTTGTTATAAAACGAGTGCACAGATGTGTATTTGTTCTTACCTTTCCCGCTGTGGCCATTTTAAAAGTAAAATTATTTATCACAGTCTAGAGAAGAGTAAAGAAGCAAAGCTTTCAGCAGCAGTCAGGCAAATAGAATGAAACAAAGTGAACTTTATTATCCAAACCTTGGACCGGAAGTAGACTTTGTCCTGAGCATATGTACAAGAGGACAACTATCTTTATGATGCAACTCGTTGATGTGATGAGCCATGTCAATAGGATACTGTTAATGTCAAAAAAGTTGTAAAATCAGAAACACTTGTAACACAAACCCAAACATTGTTGAAAAAAATTAGAATACTGTCAGAATAGAGTTTGTTTAGGATATTTTGCTTGAAGGACACCATTTGTAACAGAACACACAATGAAACTTTCTGTTTTTATTGTTTAATTTTTTTTTAAACATCATTAAAAGGACCCAATCTTGTTTATTTCATTTATTTTCTGTACAGACTGACACAGTTCAGACTTTTCCATTTTAATCTGATAATGTTCAACCACATTTCTTGAGTAGTACAGTTGTATGATTATTTGTGAATATAGGATATGATCTGATAAATCTTCTAATGTGTCTGAAAAGATTGGATCACTTTGGCTTATTGTGGAGAAACACTCATGACTGCCCGGATGCTGTAGAGAACAAAGAGAAACAAACAATAAATGTTACTTCTAAATTGTAGTTTATATTTTTACCATTTGAAAAAGAAAAGTGGAATGGGTTTTTGAAAACGTACCATTTGCCATGCTTCAACAGCTCAATCGCATCATTGACCTGGTCCAAAGTCATCTTGTGAGTGATGAACTCATCCAGCGTCACCTTCTTGTCCAGGTAGTTTTTAACCATCTCGGGAATACCGTCCTTACTCTTGAACCCTGAAGCCACCAAAAAGATACATGAATAAATAAAAATCAGTAAAATTGTCAAATACAGCTCATTAAATCATGAACACTTGGCTGATTCTTGCAGTTAAACATTATTTGGATTTCTTGGGTGGTTATGTGACGATGCGATACATCTGAAGTTCTTTCCCATTACTGAGGTGAGTGTTTGACAGCTTTGACCATCCAATTCCAACCAGTCAGTTTACTGTTTTTAACGAGTCTTGCACTATCCAATCATGTTTAATCATCCTAACATAAACCTATGAGAATATCTAAGCATAACCAAAGATAGTTGTAAAGTCTAAAGAATTCTGCTAAACAAAAACCTGTTTTTGTAGAAACTAGTCCAACTTTTGAAGGACATTATGTGCTTTGGATCAACGAGTTCTAAGGACATGTTGATGAGAGTTTAATAAGTCTAATAACATAATTGTTTTCATGTTGGCTTTTGCCCCACTAAGGCAATGCTTTAATTGTGCAACAGTTTGCAGTCAGTTCACCCAACACAGAAACACTCCAGAGTTGGAGCTGTGAGGTGTGAACCTTTAGAATAATTTTTAGTTAGAGTTGGAAAGAGCACAGCAAATAATCAGAAGGAGGAGTTATAGGATCCAAGACTCGCACAGTAGATCAGAAAACTTCACCTACACAAAGAACAGCATAGCATAGCAGACATCAGCAGAAGTTGAGTTGCTTTTCTTTAGCTATGCAAATAATTCAAATGCTAAAAGAATGTTCAGTCTGTTTGGGCAGTCAATGCACATTTATGAATGGACCATAAACATCCCTCTGCATTACTTGAGAGACCCTATTTAGGTAAGAAAGAACCTGCTCTGAAGGATCTGCTTTGAAACTGGAGCACCAAAAGGACAAATAAATGTAGCTGCGACTCCAATACCATCATTTCAAGCTCAGTCCACCAAACCAACAAACTAATCAAAGTTGTTGGATCCCTGGATTCTTGAAGCTCTTAATGTGGGACAGAAACCATAGAAATTTGCGATGATAGAAGTTGCTGTGGGTTTAGTAGGTATGAGCGCCTTCATTTCACCTCCAAACAAGGTGCCCTTCCATGTTCGTCCAGTCATAAGCTGAAGGGGCCGAGCACTAATGTCGTGCAAGTTTGTGTAGCCAACAATCACGCTGACGCCCCAACCTGGTGCACTGGACTCCAAGGCACTGCGCTAATTAGGGAGAAAGCACAATGTCATAGGTGTTTGTTCAGTTTTTAAGCATGAATCCTAAATGTCAAAGCTTACCATGACTTCCACATTCCCAACACATTCCAGGGAATAGTCCACTCCTCCGTTGGTCATCTCAACGAGCACCTGGCTGATAGGCTTACTGTGCTCTTTAGAGTTCACAAAATCAGTTGCACCAAGCACTTTGGCTTTCTCAAACTTGTCTGGATTGATGTCAACAGCAATGATCCTTTTAGCTCCTGCAGCTTTGCAGCCCATGACTGCAGCCAATCCTATAGCTCCCAGACCAAACACAGCGCACGTGGAGCCTGGTTCAACCTGAATGCAAAGAAAGACCAGTCAGCGTGGAAATGAAGTAAAAAAAAAAGGCAAGTTTGTTTCACCTTAGATAATAAGTCTACAGCAGTGAGGGTTGTACCTTTCCAAAATATAATTTTTACACACCTTGGCAACATTAATTGCTGCTCCAAACCCCGTGGAGACCCCACAGCCAAGGAGGCAAACTTTATCCAGAGGGGCAGCTGGGTCAATCTTCGCTAGAGCAATCTCTTTCAATACAGTGTACTCGGAGAAGGTACTGGTTCCCATAAACTGCAGCAACTTCTTCCCCTTACAGCAAATTCTGGAGTTTGCCATGTTAGGTTCACTTGATCCTCTGTGGAGAAAATGTATTTTACTCAGTTGGATGGGGTGCTGAAAAGGTTAATATTTCAATGTACCATCAAACAAGTCTGCAAAATAAAGGGAGTGGAATTTATGAATTAGAGGGAAAATATGATTTACCGTTTTTCACATAGGTTGGTCTTAGGGTTCTTACAGAAGCGACATTCTCGACACTGTGGGATGAACAAGGGAATAACCTTGTCTCCTAAAAAACACCACATCATACATATTTTTTTTTACAAACTTAAACAACTACAAACATGATTTTTTTTATCATTGCCTTTGAAACACGAGACAAAGACAGAAATTAGACAAAATAGATTGTTAGGTTTTTATTTTTTGACTGACCTGGCTGAAATTCTGTGACACCCTTGCCAACACTTTCCACTATTCCAGCAGCTTCATGGCCAAGAACCAATGGGAAGAGATCTTTATTCATATCTTTATACAAATAGTACAGGTCTGACTGGCACAGACCCGATGCCACCACCTGCACAGAGAACAAACAATAAAACCAATTATTATAAATAAAAGGCACATTCATAAATGCTACATTAGCATTTGAAATATGCACTTTTTCTTAATTCTAACAGGAAGTCAATCAGTCTTGAGGATTTGAAATTTAAATTAAAGGTTTTGCACAAGAACGTTTCAGACTTTGTCTTGGACTTCACATCTGTGTATTAAACAAACCTAATTTTTTATGTTTTTGTTCTAAGTATGGTAGCTATTGGTCTTTATCAATAGTTCTCCAGACTGAAGTTATTTCAAAGATTTAATTTTAACTTTTAACTACTTTCAACAGGACGATGACAGATTTACCACAGACTGTACTAATGTAATACTATGTTCTAGAATTGCGCCGCTCAAGGTGGCTGCATGTTGGAGCAGCTCTGTTTCTTTCATTCTGAGATTTTGCTTTTGGAAACTTTAATTCCTCTTTTGCTGAATGCAAAGTACATTTTTTGAATGATTGTTTCCTCTTGTATCAGATGCTGTGCAGCTGGAAGGATTTTTAGTGAAACTTTTTTAGTTTTGGACATTTGTTATGATGCGTAACTGTGGCAACAAGACAGTTTTCTACAACCAACAGCAGCTGATTAACGTCTCAAACGCTCAAATAATATCTCAACTATGGCCCCAAATCTCGAATGAGTTGAAAAGGATGTTTTGCAGATGCATTCTCATCTACCTGCCAGCTGTGCTCGAGTGCCTGACCACTGAGATCCTGGAACTAGCAGGAAACACGGCTCATTACAGCGGAAGGACAAGATCGTTCCTCTGCACCTACAGTTGGCTGTCCGCAGCAACGAGGAGCTCGGCAGACAGCTGGGAGGAGTGCCCATAGCTCTGGGAAGAGTTCTACCTGGCATTCGGGCAGTCCTACAGCCCGGGGGAACTGAGAGGCCAGCAGAGTCTGAGTGGACAGATCGGACTGCATTTGCAGCCAGTTTCTTAGGATCCACTGTGGGATGGACCTTTACAAGAGATCCTTCCTGTCTACAGCCATCAGCATCTATAACATCTCTTAATGAAATGAGGATAACGAGTTACAACAACAAATAATTTCCCTTTGGGATTAATAAAGTATCTTTGAATTGAATTGAATTTTTGAATTAATGAAATTTGATTAATCTCTTTTTTAGTGCTGCATTTATTGTATTAAAGAAGATACACTAAATCTAGCATAAACTAAAAATAACACACATTTTTGCATAGACCCAGATATACTGAATTTACAAACTTCAGAAATTTATAGATATGTTAAATACTCAAGTCATTCATTTACTTTTCCTGGTAATTTCCTCTCACCTTGATTCGGACCTCCTTCTCCTGCGGAGGTTCTACCTCCACCTCTTCAATCACCAGGGGCTTGTTGGGCTCCCAGGCTACTGCTGCCTTACATTTGATGACCTAAAAGGAAACAAAGTGAAATCCCTCAGCAGTCTGAATTAACAATGGCCATGCTGTAGAAATGCAGTAAGCTTTGGGTGCTACAGAAGTTTTTATTTTCTCAAATGTCAAACAAGTGGATCTGCATGAAGCACATTTCATGACACTTGCAAGGATTCACCTGATAATCTTTGGTATTTTGATAAAAACCTCCCAAATTTTTGTTGTGCAGAAGGGTTCTAACAAGAAATACGGCGTATCTTGGATTTTTTTTAGCTCTTTTTTTATTGACACTAAAAAATACTTGTTCCTTTTTCTAAGGTGGAAATGATTGTAAACTTTTACTATATCTACTGGAAATGTACTCTTAGTGGGGCTGGAAAGGCAAGCGAACAATTAAAAAAAGCAGCATAGAGTCACTTTAATACTTTTTGTAAACATACGATTACCTTAAATATCTATTATTGCTGTAAAGACAAGAAAAAGTTTGAAAAACAACATTTTGTTGGCTCCTATTAGCAGAAAAATATGTATTTTGCTTTAGCAGGAACCAGAATATTATTATATTGTGTATATATTTATTGTTTCAACATTTAAAGGCAGATCAAATCATATGAAGTAACCCTTTACAGAGCATATGTACTGTTTACATTTGCACGGATTAATCGTGTACTAACATCATGTACAGCTGCTGTTCTGATCAAAGGGTTCTTGCACAAGCAGCTGTTTAAAGTCCATACTGTATGCGATAAGGCAAACACGATTTACAGCTGCAGTACTCTTTAATCCCTCAGTGGTAGTTGAGTTTTAACTGATAAGCATCAAAATTGTACTTTTTTTTTTGGACTTTCCAACTGATGTCATTAACTAAACCAGCTTTTTAGCTAAAAGTAACTTTCATGTCATGTTTTAAAAGAAAATATCTGATGAACTAATGAATTTACATAAACATTCTGTCTTGGTCAAACCCATAGCAACCCTTTATAAATAATGCAGTAATGTGTAACCAGATTTAACTATGACTTCTGTACAAGTTAAAAGCAGGGCGATATTTGTACAGGCATAAAACTTTTCTTACCTTCCCAGCTGTGTCCATGTTAGTTGCAGACATTTGCTCACAGTTTGGACAAGTTTATCAGACTGCAGATGCAGGACAGTGGAGTGAGAAAGGGCAAACCAGATCCCGGCTATTAAATAGAACACACAGGACTTTACCCTTGTTTATATAAACTGATAGGTTAGGTATTAAATTTTTATGAGATTTTGGTAAAACATTCAAGAAATAAAGATAATCAAAAAACAAAAGATCACGTCTAGCAATCAGTAGCCGTTCTAGTTTTCCTACAAGGCCTATTTACCAGAACATATAGCAAGAGCTATTGATTACAAATGTCCAAAACAGCTGCATCAATATGCAATACAGCCTGGCTATAATGAGCATGTACTTGAACCTACAAAGAGTTTACTGAAAAGGATTTTTGACTTTTCTTTACTGCCACCACTGAGAGAAAACAATGACCATGCAATTAAAGATACAGCAAAATTGCTGTAAAATACACACAAGTAAAAAAAAAAAACCCCAAAAAACAAAACAACTACAATATTTGACTTCTGCAACAATTCCAAATTTGGTAAAAGCTCCGGCCAAAAATAAAAACATTACAAAACTTGTTCGGATGTCAGGATTTGGTGGACAGGAACGAACCCAGTAGTGCAGACAGGTCTCAACTCGGCAGATTACAAAACTAAATACTTTAATGACGAATAAAAAGTAACAAGATAATAAGCTGACGTGGCAGCCAAACTTACAGCAACAGAAGACTCAGGGGGAAACTCAAAAAGACTCAGGAAGCTCAGGGAAGACTCAGGAGAACACAGGATACCCAACGAATATGACCCGACCAGGAACAAGACAGAACAGATGGCTTAAATACAGGGACAAGACGAGACGTGATTACAAACAGCTGTGACGAGACAAGGGTGGCACCAATTAAACTGAAGAGGAAACACTAGGGAAGCACAGACACAAACAGAGCCACCAAATGGTACCATCCTTACAGTACCCCCCCCTCAAGGACGCCTCCAGGCGTCCCCAAAAAAAAAAAAACCTCCCGAAGGACTTGGGCGGGTGGAGGGCGGCACTGCAAGGGTGGAGGGCCAGAGGAAACACTAGGAAGAACATAAGGACCTGACAAAAACTAAGGCAAAACACAAGCAGGAAAACACAAAAGATCTAAACGGTCAAGAGACCGTCCCTAGAGTCATTGTTCAGGGGGGCGGCCGGGAGGCCGTCAATCACGGGACCCACGTTCAGGGGGGCGGCCGGGAGGCCGTCCAACACATAGGACCTTGGAGGCCGCGGCAGGCGACAATGACGACTTGGAGGCCGCGTCAGGCGGCGTAGAGGACCTGGGGGCCGCATCTGGCGGCGAAGAGGACTTGGGGCTCTGGAGAACTGCAACGTGCGACTTGAGACTCTGGATATCTGCAGCGTGCGACTTAGAAGACCATGGAGGCGAATCCTCTGTGGAAGTGGAGAGCGCCGGCCCCTCTGGAGACTTGGAGAGCGCCGGCCACTCTGGAGACTTGGAGAGCGCCGGCCACTCTGGAGACTTGGAGACCTGTAGCTCTGCAGCAGACGACGGAGAGACCTTGGGTGCGGCGAAGGTGATGGGTGCAGGATGAGTTATGGGTTCAGAATGAGTACTAGTGAACCTGGGTGTGCTGAGAGTCCTAATTTCTATTAATAATTGATTATAATCAGGGAGCTGAACGAGACCGGGCCATGAAACTAAAAACTTCTCCATCAGGGAAAATATGACTTCTGAACAGTCCGGGTTATTTTTAGCATTAGTAAATGAATCTAATAAAGACTGGTTTATAAATGCCAGATCCTGGGGTGAATATGAGACTGACAGACAAGTGTCTTTCAGTGAGGGTGTGGAGTCAGGTGTCGCCCCCACCGGAAACCTGGGAGGTGGGGCGGCGGAACACGCCCCCACAGAGTCACTGATACTATGCACCGGAGGTACGGTCAGGCCGGGTTGGATAGCCGTGGCGCGGTGTGACGGTGAGAGGCCGGACTCCGCCCCCACCAGGAACCTGGAAGGTGAGGCGACGGAACCCGCCCCTGTAACATCAACCGGACCGGACTCACCGAACCGAGCAGGAGTGGACCGGAGCTCCCGCGGGACGCTGGATCTCGCCCCCACCGGAAACCTGGGAGGTGAGGCGGCGGACCCCGCTCCCACAAAAACACTGGAACCAACTCTAAGATTCTGCTCAGCCGACGAGACCGGGCTGGTCGCCGCGGACTGCCCCCGGGACCGCTTTCTTCCTCCCCGGCTACGGCGGGAGAGTCGGGGGACAGGAACAAAACAGAATTCGTCCTCGATTTCTTCGTCCTCCCCCGACGTCCACCCCGAATAGCCGGGCGAGGCGGACTCAGAAACAGGGGCCCGGTGGCTTCCCCGGAGCCGAGACCTGTTTTCCTCGAGGACCAGGAGTGGTGAGGACAGGATTTCCACCTCCTGGTCATAACGTCCTTGTGGGCTGACGGGCCTAGTCCAGAACCCGCCGCAACGGATTGTGGACTTGCTCATCTCAGGAAGCTTGGAGGAGAAAAAGAAAAAAGGTAAGCTGCCGAGAGAACCCTGCCCGCTGGGTTCTGATGTGTGTTTGCGTCGTAATGTCAGGATTTGGTGGACAGGAACGAACCCAGTAGTGCAGACAGGACTCAACTCGGCAGATTACAAAACTAAATACTTTAATGACGAATAAAAAGTAACAAAATTATAAGCTGACGTGGCAGCCAAACTTACAGCAACAGAAGACTCAGGGGGAAACTCAAAAGGACTCAGGAAGCTCAGGAAAGACTCAGGAGACGCAGGAGAACACAGGATACCCAACGAATACGACCCGACCAGGAACAAGACAGAACAGATGGCTTAAATACAGGGACAAGACGAGACGTGATTACAAACAGCTGTGACGAGACAAGGGTGGCACCAATTAAACTGAAGAGGAAACACTAGGGAAGCACAGACACAAACAGAGCCACCAAATGGTACCATCCTTACAGTTCACTTTTTAAACATTTTTGTTTAACGATGTTTAAAACCCCATTTCAGAAAAAAAAAGTTTTAATGTGCAAAATACTAAAACAGACAGCAATTATTTGATTTTTTTTAACTCATTGAATGCAAAAGGAACGGTAATAAATTGTATGGATTTTAGAAAAAAAAATTGAAAATCAGGAATTTTGAATTTGATGGCAGAAATATCTCCAAAAAGTTGGGAGAGGGGCAACAAAAAGATGTACGAGTAACTGGAATGAAACAAACAAAGAAACAAACAGGAGCATTTGGCAACCAATTAGGTGAATTATCAACAATTTGGTTAGAAAGTTGGGTATAAATTGAACATTTTAAAGAAGCTAAATTTCATCATTAATATCCAGTTCAATCCCCCCCCCCCTTCTAAAAATGGGTGGCACTGTGGCACAGTTGTTAGAGCAACAGCCTCTCAGCAAAATGGTTGCCAGACAGAATTGGAGTTTTTGTTCTTAGTGTGCATGCTTGGGTTTTCTCTGGATAACTTGGTTTCCTCCCATAGACCAAAAACAGGCATGCTAGGCTGACTGGTAACTAAATTGTCCTTAGGTGTGAATTGCTCTTTTTCTTGTTTGTCTTTGTGTCCCTGTGATGGACTGGAGACCTGTCCAGGGTGCACCGCTACACAATGATTGCTAAATCTGTGCACCAGTGACACATGTGACCTGGAAAGGAAGAATCGGGTAAAGATGATGGATGGATGGAACAATTTCTTTAACACTTGATTTGTTTTTGTTCCATTATGAATAAATTATGGGTTTGACATTAGCAAGTAGTAAATCTTAAATCTGCACAGCGCCCCAACTGATTTGGAATGGTACACAGATCATTATACATCTGCAGATATACATTTGATTTGCATCAGTCTCTAGGTTAAAATTATGTCAAATTAATATAATTTTCTATCTCCCATATGATATACACACATATGACACACGTGAGGATCCACAACTTCTCCACCTCACCCATAACCCTCAGTACTGATTATCCTCAAGGCTGTGTGTTGAGCCCCCTCTTGTTCACTCTGCTCACAGACTGTGCACCAACTCATCCTGGCTGTTATGTTGTAAGGTTTGCAGATGATACAGCAGTGGTTGGATGCATCACAAACAACAATGAGTCCAGCTACAGGCAGGAGGTGGAATATCTAAAGAGCTGGTGCAGGAATAACAAACTTCACATCAATGTGAAGACGACGAAGGAGATGGTCGTGGATTTCAGACGGAGAAAAAAACACCTACCCCACCTGAACTGAGGATCTGTGGATAAAATGGTCTCCAGTTACAAGTACTTGGGTGTGCACCTGAATGATAACCTCAGCTGGAGCAACAACACCACCAGCCTGATCAAGAAAGCTCATCAGCGACTACTTCCTCAGGTGGCAGAGGTGAGCTGGACTGGGAAGTTCAGTCCTCACCTCATTCTACAGGTGTGCAGTGGAGAGCATCCAGTGCTCCAGCACCAACATGTCGCATGGAGGATGCACAGCTGCAGAAAGAAAAGCTTTGCAGAGAGTGGTGAATGCTGCACAGAAGTCTGTTGGAGTCAGTCTCCCCACAATCACATACATCCACACCTCCTGATGCAGGAAGAGGGCCACCTGCATCATGAAGGACCCCACTCACCCAGCACACACACTTTTTGCCTCGCTTTCCTTAGGTAGAAGGTTGCAAAGCATTAAGTGTAGAACCACAAGACTGAGGAACAGCTTCTACCCTGAAGCTGTTAGACTCATAAATCCCTAACCAGGATAATCACTGTAAAAAAAAAAAATCACTTTAATGCCACTTTAATTGGGATATGTGACTTATCTGTGCTGCTGATTATCCATGCTGCTATCATGCTGCTGCTGATCGCATGCTGCTGTATTCATTCATACCCACCCGCTCACACAGACTCATGTTCGAGCTGCTTTTACGCCATATTGTTTTACATTAGTGTTTAGCATATATCTTGGATCTTTTTGCTAATCTTTGGCGTTTGTTTAGCTCATATCTTAGTGTATATCTTTGATCCTTATTTACCGTTTCTTTTTATACTTTATATTTTGCTATTTTTGGGTGTAACTGGGACCCTGTGTCCATAGTTTCGTTCCACCTCATGTACCACGTGATGGAAACAAAATTAACTTGAACTCCAATTTGTGAAAACTAAACAACCTCATTTTATAAGCATAAACAGAGACTTGGAGAAAAAAAAAAGTTGATTTCTACATAGTCTGTATATTTCATTGTAAATTCTGTCTTTCAACATTTATAACTTTGGAGGCAGAATATTTTTATGATGCAACTCACCGATCTGATAAACTGTGTCAACTGCATATTGCCTCCACAGTAATGAGGGTTCGAAAAGCACTTTTGAGGAACAGACCTGGTCTTGATGAAAACAATTGCTTGACAGACACAAAACAATGCATTTATGTTTTATGAAAACAAAAATAATGTGACACCATCTGTTTGGATCGGTTTATTTTGCACCATTAACACTGACAGTTCAGATATGCCAATATAGACTTAGATACATGTTTAGGCTGTGCACATCTCCTGATTAGTGCTGGCTGCTCAAAATTGTGTGTATATTGAGCAGAATCAACTTATAAATGCTTGAAAAAAAATTCTTAGTAGGTTGACTTATTGTGGAGAAATACTCAGGACTGTTCGGATGCTGTGGAACAAGAATAAAAAATATTGATTAGAAGCTTAATTCTGGTGAATTATTTATTTTTAGATATTCAGGAGATTATGAACAGTGTAATCAGTTTAGAATAGATACCATTTGCCATGCTTCATCAGATCAATCGCATCATTGACTTGGTCCAAAGTCATGTTGTGGGTGATGAACTCATCCAGCTTCACCTTCTTATCCAAGTAGGCTTTAACCATCTGAGGAACACCATCCTTACTCTTGAATCCTGTGTCAGACAATATATCATCGTTAGCAAACACGTCTCATGACACTGGTTGAATATCTATGAATCCAAAAGACTGAAACCTTTTGATAAATGTTATCCCACCATTGTTGTCCTATTATCATAACATTGTGTGGCTCAAGAAAATCAGCATCTGACCTAAATCACATTCAAGTTACTGATTGATTTACAAGTAAACCTGATCAAAAACCTTTAATGAGTCAGATTCTTGTTAACCTCTGCTGTCATTGGGTCAAAATGACCCAAGGGCAATGCTTTTGCTGCATAAAACAAATAGTTTAACTACATTGATAAACTTTACCAGAATAAGGAATGCTCTTTTCTTCAACCTCTTAGACCTTCTATGAAGTGGATATGGTTGGCAGATTAAAGCAATCCTGCACAACATCATCTCAATCTAAATCAAGAGTTCAAAACCCACACCAAGCATAGTTTAGGATTGGCCCAGCTTTCTTTTTTTTGAAGCACCAACTGGTTAGCCAGAATCAGTTAAACTAATCAGAAGTCCTTCTCTAAAGTTTCCCTGAATTTTTCCATGCTCAAGTTTTGCTTCCACAACAAAATAAGCTATAGTACTTTTGGCCACTTGGTACCAACCAGTGTTTCTAGACCACCAAGGCCTAAAGATCTCCCTGAGTGTTATGACTTCATAGGTCTTCTGCTTGGTGTATGTTGAATTCATTCAGAAAGACCAAGATGGTCATGTATTCTGAACTGCAGTTTAACCTTAATTTACATCTAAATACGAAGGTTGTTTCTCTGTTAGAAACAACAACAATAAAAAAAGTAAACATTTTTTCAAAAACATCATGACCCCCTCTATTGCAACTACCCCAGGGGTAACAGATCTTCATATCATTACACAGAGTTTAATTGGAGGCTTGGTTCACTTTTCTTGCAAAATGCATGGAGGCAAAATAATAATAATAATAATAATAATAATAATAACAATACCAATAACAATAACAATAATAATAATAATACTGAATTGTTCAAAAATGGCCTTGATGTGTTGGGATTGATATAAAAAAGTGGCATGAACGTTGTTGTGAACATATTTTGTCTGTTTCCTCTACTGTTGGACCTCTCCTCATGGATGTTTGATGAAATGAGCAGCCACACAAGACTGCAAACTACTCTTGTAGACTTCATAACATGCACTTGTGTCAACACGTTACACCATGTATCCAAATGAAGAAAGGAGGCTCTCTTGATCAAGAAAAAAAACATAGAAAAAAAAAACCCAGAGTCCATTTGGCAACTCAAATTTCATATGTATCCACCCCCACACTTTACATTATTTGGGACTTTTATGTGAGGGCACATTTTGGACCCAAAGGTGTAAAGTGTATAGTCATTTCAAATGTGCCTCAAGGGTTAATAATGCTGAGTGTGCAGCTCACCTCCAAACAGGGAACCCTTCCATGTACGTCCAGTGATGAGCTGAACGGGTCTTGCAGAAAAATCATGCATATCTGTCCAGCCAACAACCACACTGACACCCCAACCTGGCACACAAGACTCCAAGGCATTGCGCTGTATGGAGAAGTAAACAAAAGTCCGAAAATGGAGTTCAGTTATTTAATGGCTATTAGGCTTTCTCCTTTTGTTGTCCTCACCATGACTCCCACATTCCCAACACATTCCAGGGAGTAGTCCACTCCTCCATTGGTCATCTCAGCAAGCACCTGGCTGATGGGCTTATTGTGATCTTTGGGGTTCACAAAATCAGTTGCACCAAAGACTTTGGCTTTTTCATATTTGTCTGGATTGACATCAACAGCGATGATCCTTTGGGCTCCTGCAAACTTGCAGCCCATGACTGCAGCCAAGCCCACAGCTCCCAAACCAAACACGGCGCACGTGGAGCCTGGTTCAACCTAGATGATAGAGCAGTTTGGTGAATGTAGCACTCCACATAGATGTCTTGATGATAATAAACAGAAGCCCAGATGCCTCCATTCTAGCAGTACAAGTTATTATCATATATACACACAAACCTTAGCAGTATTAACAGCTGCTCCAAACCCTGTGCAGACCCCACAGCCAAGGAGGCAAACTTTATCCAAAGGAGCGGCAGGATCAATCTTGGCCACAGAAATCTGATTGATCACGGTGTACTCAGAGAAGGTACTGGTTTCCATGAACTGCAGGACCTTCTTCCCCTTACAGGTGAACCTGGAGTCTTCTAAGGCCATCACATCGTGACGTTCAGCAGTCCTGTACAAAAATGCTTAATGCATCAAATGAATGTACTGTATATCCCAATGGTGATACAATTTGTGGGGAGTTAAGTAAGAAGACCCGTGGAAAAACAAACCAAAACACCTCACCATCCCTTGTTACACTGATTGGCCTTAGGATTTTTACAGAAGCGACATTCTCGACACTGGGAGATGAACAAGGGTATAACTTTGTCACCTACATTAAAAAAATATATATATTAGTTAAAATAACAATAAATTACATTTGATAATTTTTAATAATTTAAAGCCAAGCCACTTTTTGTTTTAATCTAGTCAGATTTTTTTTTTACTCCATGGCCAAAAAAATTCCAAAAAACATCTTTAAACATGTGCTGTATTTTTCACTGTATAAGTTGCACCTTTTTGCATAAATTAGCATGCCCTGTGACTTATACTGAAAAGCGACTGATTTTATGTTTTCCCCCCATATTTATAACCCAATTTTTGGCTGAGATCTGAAGATTTCATTAATTGTGACATGGAAAATATTGAACACTACCATTTTCAGTCAATAGATGGCACTCGAGTAATATGGCAAGCCAAATGTCTCATCAATGGGTAAAAGTGGCTATTAATGAGATACTTGGCTTGCCATACAGCCACCTTCGTCTCACTCCGTAACTCCTGGCGCAAACGTCAAATCAGCTGCATTTTGCTGTGCCGTCCAGGCGAAATGCAGCGGATTTGACCGTTGAAGTGCATTTATTAAGGAAAAGTTAAACTGAGACACACCTTTGATATAATTTCGAGCAAACAAATAATTGTTTTTAAGTGTTAATCTTGTTAAATTCTTGTTAAAGTCCTCCTGTGCACGCTCCCTCGACCACCATTTGGCAATCATTCAATTTTTGGCGCAACACCCAATCACATTTCCAGGTAGTCTGCGTTGACGCATAATAGATGCAACTTATACGGCAAAGTGACTTATTTATGCTTTTTTTCCCACTTTATTAGACATATTTGGACTGACACGACTTGTTCGGCGATGCGATGTGTACGGCGGCAAGTATGGTACTTGTCTAAGTAAATAAAGTGTAGTTTATCGGGTGTAACTGACCTGGTTGAAATTCAGTGACACCAGGTCCAACGCTTTCTACAATGCCAGCTCCCTCATGGCCAAGAACTGCTGGGAAACCATCTTTGTGCATCCCCTCAAAAAGGTGATACAAGTCTGTGTGGCACACCCCTGTTGCCACAATCTGTGCACAAAACACAACAACATCACAGATCTTAGCTGCTTTTGAAAGAACAGCTTGATAAAAGCACAAGTTTGACATTTACCAAACTTTTTCTCAAAAACTTTAAACCTGACATTTGAGGATTGGATTAATCCATGCCTTTAGCTGTTTGGATTTAATGTGTTTGCAAGAGAGTTCAGCTAAAATATTTAATTGGTCTCTCCTACATTATTTTATGGGCTCGTAAAGCCTTTTCATGTTGCAATCATAGCATTTGGAAGTAGAAGTTTAGTTAAAAAAAGATCCTCTATTTTTGAAGAGAGCGAGGTCAATCTGCATGTGTCAATCTGCATTATGCACGCTTACAGAACACCTCTGCTTTAAAACATGAATCCTACACTCCTTGTTTCTTTGAATTGAGAAAGTTCCTTGGATGAGAAGCGAAACGTCTTCAGTTACAAATAAAGTCTAGTTGTTTTGTTTAACCTTTTTTTTTATTTAGTTAAAAGAAAATCTGTATAAACAAACTTGTTCACTCCGCCAGCTTGATCATCTCAAAGTTGATTTATTTGTGCAAATGTCTAAATCAACCCCTCAATTTTAAAATCATTTCTTTACAAGCTGAAAGACGTTCATGCAATATTTTAAATCGGCCTTGATCAATTGTTTCCAGTCTTTCTGGAGGTCTTTTAAAGATTTGCTTTGGCTGGCTGCTTTTCACTCAGTTTCAGCTTTTAGTTGACCATGTTCCAATAATTTTTCCCCTTCTTCTTTCCGATGAATCATAATCATAAACTGATGGGATGAGCCAAAAGTGTATCAACTCCTAAAATAACAAAGAACCAATTATATTTTCAGGCTCTCCCCTGAAGAAGCTGCATGCCACAATGGCACAATTCCCTGTTTCTTTACTGAATCTCTAATAACATCAAAGATAACACAGTTAGACATAACATAAGAATTCAGTACCAACAGAAACTTAAAAGGACTGAAGTGATGAGTATGTCAGGTCCTCCCTGAATTTTTTTCTTTTTTTTACCATTTCCTAAAGATATACTTTCAAATTATGTTCATTTGCTGAATATGTTTTTATAAAGTCTGTTAGAAGAAAAAAAATATCTCTTTGTCTTACTTACTCCAAAAGAACCACACTCGGCAGCAGATGATTTTTAACTCCTATTTATTTGCAAGGTCAGATTTTCAGGGAGGCAGCACGGTGGCGCAACTGGTAGAGCTGCTGCCTCTCAGCGAGCAGGTCCCTGGTTCAAATCCCGGTCCGGGGGCCTTTCTGGGTGGAGTTTGCATGTTCTCTCCGTGCATGCGTGGGTTTTCTCCGGGTACTCCGGTTTCCTCCCACAGACCAAAAACATGCATGTTAGGCTGATTGGTAACTCTAAATTGTCCCTAGGTGTGAGTGAGAGAGTGAAAGGTTGTTTGTCTCGTTTGTCTGTCTCTATGTGTCCCTGTGATGGACTTGCGACCCATCCAGGGTGTACCCCGCCCCTCGCACAGTGATGGCTGGACATGGGCACCGGCGACCCCCGTGACCCAAAATGGAATAAACGGGTAAAGAAAATGGATGGATGGATTTTCAGGGTAAGTTACATAACTATACATAAAGTATTTGTACCTGAGCCGCCTTCTCAGCTTGTTTTAAATAACCTTATCAGTTCAGCCGAGTTCACAGAACTCAGGTGTCCTTGGCACCAGCTGCAGCCTCAGCTCCTCACCCAGCTCTCTCTACTAACCTAAACATAGGAGTCATGGGCGGAGTTAAGATTCTCAGCCGTAGCACAGGTAATAACATCCATAACCTTTGACCAACAATCCCCCAACGCTGACACCTTTGATTTTTCTCATTTTTTAGCATACACTGCACATTATCCCTCGATTTCTGCATGTCATTTGTTTATTTATTTATTTTCATTCAACCTTTATTTATACAGGTTAGTTTCATTGAGTTATGAGGACTCATTTTCAAGAGAGGCCTGTAAATTAAAGTTATTTAAAGATTTTGTCAGTGGACTTTATTTATATTTCGTCTATATTTCAAAAAGGAAATTGAGCTACTGTGATCACGTTAACGGAATCCCGAGGTCTGGACGTGTCCCAAATAAACTCTTCCAAATGCACGTGTTCTTCTGTGAATGTTTGCATCTCGACAGTGGTTATCTCACCTTGATGCGAACCTCGTTGGCCTGAGGAGGAGCAACCTCAATCTCCTCGATCACCAGCGGCTTGTTGGGCGCCCAGGCCACTGCTGCCTTGCACTTGATGACCTAAAGTAATGACACCAGGATGAATTTTTGCTTCTGCAGCTGCATTACAATCCACAGAGGTGCCATGCAAAAATTCAAGAAATGCTCCAAGCGCTCACCCATGTGACAAATGTAATTTAAAGTGTTTTTATGTCAAATTTCAAGCTCATTTCTGCAGAGCGTCACAGAAAATAAACTTGACAACTTGATTTGAAATAGTCAAAACATCTGTTAACAGTATATTAGCTTTTTAGGACAAAACGACTGCAGAAAGCTAAACGAGCGAATAACAGCAAAGTTTAAAGACATAATATAAAATAGAGTTCGGTTCTTTTTAGCGAGTCAAATCGGTTCTTCTCATCCTAAGCATTTCATTCTACTGTTAACCTTTATATGACAAATAAACACAACTTGAACTAGAGACAGCAATTTTATGATCACTGAGCAAACATTAGAAAAATTGCGTGTATTCTCTTCCAGCATCGAACTTTCCACTGCAGGCTGCCAATATCCACAGTTGTGCAAAACAGGACGGCTGTGAGACAAGAATCATCTGCACCACATGCTTTTACTTAGTTCAGCATTTTTATTTTTCCTCCCACGTAGACGCAACGTCCAAATTGGCTGAAGCACAATGCATTTGTACAGATGAGAACAAATAAATCATAAAGTCTTGCAATAACTTTTACATTTGGTGATTAATTTAAGTTCATCCACACTTAAAGCATAAAGTTAATTTCACCTCAGCTAAAACAATGAAGATGAACTTTTACATTCTAATGAGGTTCAAAAGTTTTTGTTGTGTTGTTCTTTAATCTACCATATTCTAGATGATTGCCCTCTCAAAACCCCACCATAAGATCACCGTGATCTCCTGTTGAACCGTGCACCTACCTTACCAGCTGTAGCCATTTCTGCAGATTGAATCCCACAAAACAACAAGGCTCGTCCCGGAAAGCTGCAGAACAGGAGAAGAAGAGGGAGCAAACCTGGATTTGCTTTATATACTAGTCTGAAAATCAGTTACGCAACACATCAGATGTGGGAGGGGAGTTTTAAAAGCTAGAATCATTTGCAACTGTTTTTATACTATCATAAAAAAGAAATAAAATCTGTTACTTTTTTTATGCAATGTAAAACTTTGTGTTACCTGCCTCCAGTTCTCTTCTGACTCGCTTAAATTCAGCCAATTACCTAATTAACACAACAAGCTAACTGGGTTTAGCAAACACAAACACAAACAAACAGCTATAATTTAGCCAGTTTTAAAGATATTGTGCTAAAATTTGGTGTGGTAGCAGCTGAAAGACATTCTCAACACACATTCTGAACACTGATCTGTTTTAAAAACTATTGTTAACCATTAGTCAGCTGTATCTCTGTTAAAAAAAATACATCTTGAACCAATGGACATATTTTCTTTAAGTAGTCGGTGGTTGTATTCAATGGTTTTAGGAATCTGCTACAGATTTATTTTGCTTTTAGAGCCAAGCGACCTTAAAAAAACACAAAATGGGTGTAATTCAGTCAATTCGACAGATAATAAACTAAAATACTTCAAGTACTACACATTGTGTAATATTAAAACCTAAAAAAAGTCTGTGCTCAATAATCCAGGTATACAATCCAACAATTTTCAGTCAGGCATCTGGACAGTTTCTTTTGTGTGTGTAATATTATATTATTGCCTCAAACTTTGGCATTAATCAGTTGTAAATGTACATGCAATCATTGCTTTGATAGTTTCATTAAGCTCCATCTGTTGATTCAAGAGATATTTTGCTAACAGGCAGAGTTAACACTAACAGTTAACTTTTGAAGTCATCTCAATGTAAAATGGTCGTTGCCATTAATAGTGTGAACATTTATACTAGTGATTTTCTTCTTTACGTATTTCATCATCTTTCACGTTCCACAATTTTTGTGCCATTTCAACAAATCATTTATCAAAACATTCAGCTCTTTCAGGACAATCTATTTTATGCTAATTTTAGCCTTTTCAGCTAATTCCATATTATTTGCACTCATTTGAACTTTTTTTTAGCCTAATTCATCAAAATGTTCTCTCTCCACTTCCTTCTGGTAATATCAGTTTTTTCAACCTTTTTGTTTGTTTGTTTGTTTGTGTTGTGAAGGATTTTGGGGTGTTCAAATGACCCGAGCACAGAATTTCAGGAGCACTTCACCTTAGTATAAAAGATTTAATTGAGACAAAGTTAAAGTATGCCGATATTACATATAATCTAGAGTGCAGTCTGAGGAACAAAATCAGAATGAACCTTGCCTGGTCAATCAGCCGATGTTTGTTCAAGCAAACGTTGTGTCTGAGCGAGATTTATAGGTTTCTCATGTCCCGCCCTTTCGGGTTCGGACAGACTTGTGATTGGGTGTCAAAACCTCTGGCTGAACAGGGTGTCACTCAGACCATCAAGTCAGGAGCAGATCTTATCCATGGTTACTCCAGACGGCCTTGCTCATTCTTTTACTGATAAGGGTTGATTTACGAGCTTTGTTTTGGAACACAGGACACTTACTCTGGCTCTCGTCTGTGTAAAGCTTTAAAACACGTTTTCTGTGTGTCTGAACTATTATTAATGTGAGAGCATAAATACTCCATCTGTTTTAAGTATAAAGTATATGAATGTTTGTGTTTTAGCATTATTTATGTTTAATCAATGTGTACGCCGTGTGTCACATTGGTGGGCCCTCACTCTCAGCTGCTCTGCTCAGATGAACAAAGAAGGATCGTTTCCTGCTGCACGAACAAGTGTCTTCCCTGTCTCTGTTTCCCTCAGAATTATATCTAATGTGAACTTGTATGATTATCCTTAGCACTTGTGAGATTATATATAACATGAAGTAATTAGTGTATGATTATACCCGCACACACCTTGTAGAAAATGCATCATTTCACATCATCAGAGAAATGTCAAGGCTTGTCAAAAGATATAAAAGATATAAAAGATATCAAACCCAACAGTTGCTAATTTCACATTTTTTCAGATAATTTCCACTTTTCTTGTGCTCATTTCTGCTTCTTTCAGCCTAACTGGGCAAACGTTCTTGCTGCTTTCTTCTGCTAATTTAAGCTTGTTTTAACTTTTTGTTTTGCTTTTTAGCATTTGTAGCTAATTTCAGCCGTTTTCAGAAAATTTAAAAATTTTCATTGTAATTTTAGCTCGTTATGCTCCTTTCAGTTGTTTTTCCTGCTAGTTTCAGCCTTTGCTGTTATTTAGCTACTATTTAGCAGTTTTATGCAAATTTCAGCTTTTTCAGCTAGTGCCACATTTTTTTTTAGCTCTTAACTTTTTGAGCCTTCTTCTGGCAGTTTAAGCTTCTTTCTACCTTTTCAGCTGTTTTTTGGTAATTTCAGCCTTTTTTAAGCTAATTTGTTGTTCTAACTGCTTATTTAAACCTAAATCAGCAAATATGTATTTTCTGCTTTATTAAGCTTGTTTTTCAATTTCAGCTAATTTCAGCTTAAAAAACATCTTATTTCAGCTGCTTTCACCAAGTTCTTCTGCAATAAGCATTGACACCACATTTTCTCAGAAAATGCAAACTTTTTCGTTGACATTAGCCAACATAAAAATGGATAACTTGGCAAACTTAAATTTATTAAGCTAAATTTGATGTGGTGGCTGAGAGACATCCTCAACATCTTTTCTGAGAGCTAACAGATCTCACAATATCACCTGAGAATGTGATGAAGTCACTCACAAAGTTTGTCCAAAATAATAATATAAATACATTTGTTCTTTCTCAGCACAAGAAAGGAGATTTATTTTAAATGTCTGTCAGGAAAGGCAGCAGGAGATATGTATTCCTTCAAGGAACACTCAGTCTTTTAATTTTTGTGTTTAAGTTTGGCATGTTTATTCCGATTTGTTAATTTTATACCTCACAATTTATTTTATCTATCATCATCAAATATGTTGACATTTAATATAACCTTTTAAAGGTTTTCAGATACAGTAACATTAATGTTCAGATTAGCTTTAACATCCAAGTCAGATTTGAACTAAAACATTAATAGCAGCAGTTAGACTTTGATGAATATTCTTAAAATATGTTGCAATTGACAGAAACAAGGTTTATGCTTTATTGTAAAAGAGCGAGTTAATAAATGCAAAAAGCAACAAACGGGAGTCTTTAAAAACTGCACATTTGCAGATGTTTTAATGTGACACATTAATATGTTGCTGCATTTTAAATAGTGCATGTTCTATCATACATGTAACTGGGTGAACAAAAACAACACAATCAGTGATAATTATATAATAACCGTCATAAAGTAGGAGGTCCCATCTTCTTATATCATAGAAAACAATGTTTAAAGGCACTGGTGTGTAAAATATTTGACATGTGGTCACTACTTGATTTAAGAAACATAAATGATAAACAGCTGAGTTTAAATTAGGCATCAGAACTCATCATGGCAGAATTTCCTGCATGATTTATCCAATTATTCTTCAATAAATTTATTGGATATTTTTTCACAAAAACCAAAGGTTTCCTTTACACTCTACTGTATCAATAAGACATCAGGCCATGAGCCCGAGTGATCCTGCAGAATAAAGTTCTGATGTCAAAATGTGTTTTCACTGCCATCACATTTTCTATATGTAAACCCAAAATAAAACATTATCCTTCATCTGAGCAATTACATAAATGGGGACTTGTAAGATCCAGGGATTCAAAATGTTCATCAGGAAGAAAACCAGAAAAAAAAAACGTACAACCATTCAGGAGCAAGGTTTGAAAAACTAGAACAGAACAAGACATGAGCAGAACAAACCTTTGAGAACCACCATGTGTGTAAAGCAGTGTTAAACTCTGTGTACATGCATTAGTCTCAACTACAAGTGGCTGCAAAACACACGTGCAAGTGTTGATGTGTTCATGTGGGATTAGTTTTTCTTCTAAACAGCTGCGTTCAGTAACGTGTTATCTTCCCTCAACTAATTAATATGATGTAGAGAGACAAAAAGAATGTGGAAAATTTGCAGAAATTGTCATTAATGTCAGAAAGTGTGCATGCAAACGGAGGTCATTAAAGACAGAAATCTGTTTAGCTTAACATTAAAACAGCGTAACCTCACTGCTGTGTGTTCACGGTCTCCCGAACGCTTCCATGTGACCAGACATAAAACAAGAAATGGTACAATGGCAGGAAAAAAAAAAGTGTATGCAAATTTGACATGATCTACAAGACTAAACAAGAAAAATATTACCAAATTTAGAAGAAAAAAAAAGGTCACATTTGTCACAGTGTAGATTAAAATAACTCAAAGTTTAACTTCAAACATTTCTAAAGCTAATGGTTCCCAACTCAGGTCCTTGAGGAACACCATCCTTCAGGTTTTAGTTGTTTCTCTGCTCCAACACACCTGATTCAGGGATTTAATTACTTCATGCTCCGCAGAAACCTGTTAATCACCCATTCATTTAAATTAGCAGGGAAACAACTAAAACATAGCAGGATGGTGTTCCTCAAGGACCACAGTTGGGAACCATTGAATTATCAACATATATGTGTTAGAATATAATTATTTTTGGAGCAAATGGAGACATGAGGTTTTATTGATATTTTGAAGCCACTATATAATTATGATGAATTGAATTCGTAACACACTTTTCATTAACAAAACTCTAAAAGTGTTGATATATATAAGCTTCTGATTACTGGAGCTTATTGCACATATTCAGGTGGCATCTGCCAAGAGTTGCACTCGAGCACCTTTTTGTTTGCTTTCATGGCTTTTAAGAAGAAAACACCTACAGAAGTCATTCAGCTCACTGTGAAAGGTTTTATATCTAAGGTTGGATATCTAAAAGGGACAGCTCATCCCAAAACAGGATTAGTTTAGTGAAAGCAATTTAAGGAAATCCACAAAGCCCTGGAGCCATTTTCTAAATATTGATTGATAAATATCAGTAGGATTACAGAGCAGAAGTTCATATTTGTATCTGAACATGATGTCCTCGACAGGTGACGGATTTAGGATTTTGATCGCCAGTTGTTTTTGACCCATCATCCTTGGGTCTGGGGGGTCTCCCACTGGCTGTATAGCATCAAACCATCAGCAATTTGGTTGATGTATCAACAAAAAGAATGACATACAATTGATGATTAGTGTTTGGAGATGATCTCAACATGCCAGGCTGTACATTCTAGATAAAAACAGTTCAACAAAACTAGCTAAATGTTATCCAAATCTATTATTTACAAGAGCAGGAGAACAAACATGTCACACCTAAACAAAAAAAATAATGTTCCTTTCATTGGAAGACAAAAACTTGTGGATCTACAGAAAGTTAGAAGCTCCTCTCCACGTTACACAAAGTGCCTGCAGACTTTAGCTTTATATTTTGTTAACAGATGAAGTTTTAGCAAGAATGGAACTTTGGTTCTCAACTCTTTTTTTACTTTACAAAAAGGTCCCCTGAAAATAACATATTGGCTACATCTTTACTTGTCTGAGAAATATGCCTTTGAGTATAAAAAAGGAGAAAAGAAACTGTAATTTGGTCATACGTTTGCTATAATCATGCTCAGAGCAAAACATTTGTAGAATAGTTCTGCTCCTTAAAAGAATCCAAGGAAAGGGACTTTTAGACAAAATCCCCAAAATAAATTATTCGACAGGCAGAGTAAAAACAGAAGACTTGTTTTGTGCAAACAATGCAACATTCAGAATTTTCTGCGTATGGCAACAATCAGCAACATGAAAAGTACTGGACTTAAAAAAAAAAAAGCTCTTTAATGGTTAAAAGTGTAACTCTAAATTCACATTAGATCATTATGAGGAACGAATAAGTCTGGAGAAATGACGTCCTAACTAGAGGAACGTCAAGGTTTAATGACAACACGTGTCATAGGAACCCCAGACACAACCAACAAAAAATACATTAAAAAAGCATCTTGATAAAGAACAGAGAGGAGCTGTTTTCGGTGCATTCAACAAGTTCTGCATGTTTAAGGCAAAAAGATGAGAGCGTTCCATTTGCTGTGGGGTTATGTTAAAGTCGTGCACATCTTCATCAAAACTTGTGGTCCACCTTGACCTGCACTTCTTGTGGCTGTTCTAGTCCATGTCACTTTAGAAGAAGAGCGTTTCATCAGTCAACAACGTCCTCATAGATGGCATCATCGAAAGGCCGCGATAGAGACGACTGTTTTCTGTGACGGGAGTACTTGAGCTGAAGGAGGTCTCCTACCTCGCTGATGGCACTCAGCGCCTGCAGAAACATTTAAAGGGTTAAAAAGAAACCATTAACTAGGCTGTGTAGAGCAGAAACAAATGCTCATTTGATTTAAGAAGTGCTCCAATTCTGGGTTGGGCAAATAAATCATTAAACATCTAGCAGGTGTTTAATTACTAAAATTGTAAAAAATGAGTGAACACTAGGATTTTATTTGATCACTGTCTCTAAACCCAATATTTACACTTCTTGGAGCTTTAATTTGATTACAAATATTTAACTCTTCGGTTCGTTATTTCCCCTCATCTTAAAACAAAACACTGCATCTGACAGGAGAGCATGACTGCAGCTGGGAGACTGAACAGAAACTAAATTACAGAACAGAAAAACAAAAACAGAATAAAAAGCAGAAATCGTTAACATTTTTCACAGAAATCAGCAGAGCAGCTTCAATATTGTTGCTTATTCACTTTCTGCTTTGGCAATAGGTCACAAATTTACTGTCATTCCAATATCGTTGCCAAAAAGGAGAGCAATAAATCATGGAGCATTACATTTCAAGCATCATACATTCATCATCTGCGTGCTAACAACACATCTGGACAAGCAGACGAACTCTTGATGCCGACACAGTTTAAATGTGGATCCACAACATCCAAAAATCTACCTCTCTCTCTCTCAATATATAGATATATGACCATGGTATGGTGGTGGCCATCTTGGATTTTGACGTCAACCCAATGGTCGCCCCGGTTCAAATCCCAGCCGGGGGCCTTTCTGGGTGGAGTTTGCATGTTCTCTCCGTGCATGCTTTGGTTTTCTTCGGGTACTCCGGTTTCTTCCCACAAACATGCATGCTAGGCTGATTGGTAACTCTAAATTGTCCCTAGGTGTGAGTGAGAGAGTGAAAGATTGTTTGTCTCATTTGTCTCCATGTGGCACTGTGATGGACTGGAGACCTGTCCAGGGTGTACCCCGCCTCTCGCATAGTGATGGATAGACATGAGCACCAGTGACGCCTGCAACTTGAAAAGGAAAAAGCGGGTAAAGATGATGGATGGATCCTTTCTTGTGCCTAGATGCAGCCACACACCAAAAGGGAAGTGGGTACATCGCCTTTTTTTCCCCAAGTTACCATGCTCGCAATGAGACAGTTGGACAGACGGAGGGTATTTCTAATCTCCCTCTTCACTCCTTGACGGGGGACAGTCAAGGCTTTTCAGGTCAGAGGCAGATGTATTTTTAGAGATCATCAGAGGTACAGCACAAGTTGAACAACTGGGAGGTAAAGTTAGAGAGGCCAGACTGAGATGGTTTGGACATGTCCAGAGGAGGGACAGTGGGTATATTGGTAGAAGGTTGTTAGAAACACAGCTGCCAGGAAAAAGACAAAAGAGGAGATATATGGATACAGTTAGAGAGGACATGGAGGTAGTTGGAGGAGGACAGAGTGGGATGGAGGAGGATGACTCACTGTGGTGACCACTGAAGAGGGAGAAGCCGAAAGAAGGAGGAGGAGACAGGAGGAGGAGGAGACCAGAATTAATCGTCCAATTTAATAACAGTGTGTGTGGCATTCTGCACAAACAAGTTTCAACTTATTTAATTAATGTTAAAATATTCATGGGTCAGTAAAAGTAAACAAACAAAACAAAACAAAAAACCCCTAATGGGTTTCTGATTATGCAAATATGTGTGTGTGAACGACACAACGAAAGGGTCAAAGCTCAGGTGGGTGTAAGAATCATAGAAATCAACACGACACTTCAAAATACGATGGGATGATACAGAGGAGACGACTAACAGAGAGATTTCACCATCATGACAGATGAAAGCATACAACACTTCAATACTCCCACTCTCTGTCTTCAGCTCATTTTGTTCTGTTTTTTTTTTTTTTTAGAAGATGGGTTGATAACAGCTTCAGATGTAGCAGCACTTATCTAATATATCTGAGCCCAATGACACACCCATCTTAGACAGGAGAGATGATCAAACATCTGTCTGACATGCTTTACAATCAGGGGTGGGCACAGAGACAGATTTACAACTTTAATTTGGAACATTAGGCACTTTTTAGATGAACTGCATCAGTTAATGCTGACAACACAACTGTTCAAACTTTTCCACTCTCTTACTAAGCAAAAAGGATGAAGCTAACCTATGTGGTGAATGAAATCTGAACCAAACCAGGATTAGGCCTGTCATGAGAACTTTTGCTGGGTGATTAATTGTCTCAGAAATTATTCCGATAAATGATAATATTATTTGAAATTTGACAATAATTATTAATTGTCAAATTTAAGAAGAAATGTTGGTTAATTTTTGTGTCTAGTACTTTTTTTGTTCACCAGATGGCAGTATAAGACAGTTTGAACTGAAGGACGGATAGTGACGGAGCGAGCAGCGTCTCTAGGAAAAATGGGAGGGAGGCCTCTTGACGTGACATGGGCTGTCTTTTTCCTTTTCTTCGGTTCTCAAAATGGCAGACGCTCGGTGTGGTTTGAGCTCTTTAGCATAGCATTTTTCACACAAAGCTTTTAATAATAATTTTTTTTTAATCAGTAAACGAGTTCTCAGCTTCTTTTTGCAGAGAAAACTTTTTACACGAAGGCACGAGTTTCAACCGTGAATTTTGGAACTTTGACAAGACAGAGTTTTTTTCCCCGAGGTCGGCCTGTTAGCTTAACTCGTAGCTTAGCTTCTCAGCTTTGCTGCTTTTAAAGATCCAAACCCGCGAGCACCAGAGATGAGCCTTTTGTCATCCAGTGTCTTCAGTAGAAAGAGAGAGAGACATGAAGAAACGATAAAGCCGATAAATGAAAATGATGTTGATAATTTTCAGTTATCATGCGATTACCTGATTTATTGTTTATCGCAACAGGCCTAACCAGGATACACAAATCTGATCAATGAGACTTAATGAGCAACTCCACAACTAATCATGCGGTTTAGGTTTCTACGTGTACTGTTCCAGCTCAAAGATCCAGAACTGTCCCATTAAGAAACAGACGGGTGAGAATTCATGTTTAATCCAGTGTCTGACAGTGGAAGATCCAGCAGGTCTGCCGTGAGTAGAGCAGAAGAGCCCTCAGAGAAGAGTGGACAGCTTTTTGATGTGTTGCCAACGGCAATCAAAAGCTGCCCCGTCTACATCTGTAGACAATCACAGTGAGGACTGCTGGTGCTGTAAGTGGAGCTCTGGACTCAAAGGACTTTTTAATATTTTATACCTCAACCTGCAGAGAGATCCAATTGGCACTGTAATGTAGCTTTTAAATGGATTCACGGCAGTGAAATGTACGTGTCAGACAAAGAACTGGGAGGGATGCAGTACGTCTGAAGTCACTTCAAGAAAGGACATTTCAGGTCAGCAGAGCTCAAACCCGGGTCCTTCCATTTCAGCACATTTCACAGCCCAGGTTTCCTTTAATGTCCGTCAGATCTATGAAAAGTTTCAAACAATTTCAAGGTCGTTACAGCACTCAGCGCCGACTATAGAGGGCATAACAGGAAAAAAAAAAAAAGTCAAATTATCTCCAGCTCGTACCAGTCGGCTCCACTAAAACATGCCTGCCAGTGGTGAAATATCAGCATAGACTCCCCTCCTTCCACTGAACTCCTGCTGGTCAGGTCCTTAATAAGCTTCATGCTGGAAAACTTTGACCAAAACTTTACACATGCGTAGGTTTTATAATTAGTCACAACTCTCTGGAACCTTATTCTAAAAAGAAAACAAGTGAGCTTAAAGCAGTGAGGCAAGAGACCAACGGTTGTGAATAATTAGAGGAAATGTAACAACCCGAAGTGTGTTTTCACTTGAATAATAATGGCTGAAGTCGGCTTTTTCTACAGTGTAGACAGAGAAGCCAAAGATGTGTCTATGCAAGACTAAACAAGATCAATATATGTAAAGTCACCACACCGCAGTGTTCAAATGCCTTTTTAAAAGAAAGAAACATGCAAACGGAATACTAAGTGGTGACTGTAAAAGCTTGAAAAAGTTAAATGTTATCATGCAACAGCTCCTGAAGGGGACCGATTATAAAGACATGCTCACTGTCAGAAAAAGATGCGATGTTAGTCACTATTGTTACTAAGAATATCTTATATCTTAGATACTTATTACCGTTTCTTTTTAGAATTTATATTCTGCTATTGTTGTATGTAACTGCGTACACAATTTATTTCCACCTCATGTAACACATGTGATGCAAATGATAACAAACCTACTTGAACTTTGTAAGAAGGCCCACCACAGAATGTATTTTATTGGAAGCTCTGTGGTTTTAATGTTGATTCTACTTTTATGAGCATGTTTTATTGAATCTCTTTTACACCTTTTACCTTTATCTGTTGGTTTGGACTTTTGACATGCAAAAACAGGAACAAACTCTCAGGGATTGTCAGGATGTGCAGCAAAACTTCTGGCATAACTCTACAGAACCTCACTGACCTACACAAGGAGAAGTCAGTTTACAAGGCCAGGCTGATTCTGGCAGATCCTGTTCACCCACTCCATAGTGAGTTCAGGTTGCTTCCATCTGGACGCAGGTATCTACTGCTCAGATGTAAGACGAACAGACTGAAAAATTCATCCCTGTCGAGATCAGGCTTCTTAATGAACATTGATGACTTCTGCACTGTTATTTTAATGTCTTAATGTCTAGTACGGATGTTTTGTGTGCCTACTGACTGTGAAATAAATTGCCCCTAGGGGATAATAAAGATTCTTGAACCTAAATAGATATAATTTGACTTCATTATGGGAATCTTTTCTTCATTAAAAATGTACAATTGTAGAACTTAAAACTTCACAGTATTTGCGCCAGCATTATGTCCAATATGTTTTTAAATTAAAGCCTAACGTTTCTTGAAGGAAAGCACATTTCCTGCTGTCTTACATGCCAACCCTTTAGTCTCAAATAATCTTTTGTTGACAAAGTTGATCTGTTTTGGTCAAACTGTGAAAATAATTTGTGTGATCTAATGTGAAACACTAATCTGTTGCATTGATCTGCTCGTGGGTGGAGCATGTGTCGTGAATGACTCTCAGCTACTACCACACCAAATGTTCACTCAGTATCTGTAAATTTCACTGAGGCAGAGGCATTTTTGTTAAGGCTAATGTCAGTTAGCTGTGGTGGCCATCTTGACTCAGGGTAACTCCAAAAGTCAATCAGCTGTAGATGTACAGCCAATGATTATTTTCTGAGAGTTTAATTGAAACCCATCCAGTGGTGGGACATGGGATGTTTTGCTAACAGACAAACAGTGCTGACCCAACAGTTAATACCAAGATGATACACAATGAGTTGCACTCATTGCAACTCATTGTGTTGAGAATATTGCTCAGTTACTACCACACCAAATTTTAGCACAACGCTGTCAAAACTGTCAGAGTTTAAGCTTTTTTTTTTCTGGTTTCTAAGATTAGTTGGCTGTGGTGGCCATCTTGAAGTCTAAAAGTTAATCCATCAGTGTTAGCTTACCCTGTCGAGCATGTCTTTGGAATGAGCGGCGGAGATGCAGAAGCGTGCCCGGGACTCTATGATGGGCGTGGCAGGGAAGCCCACGACCACCACCCCGATGTTTCTCTTCAGCATCTCCCTGCCAAACGCACTGACAGGAAAAACAAAAAACAAAACGATATGAAGACATGGCGGAGGGTAACGCTTTAGATTCTGCCGCACAGTTTGAGGTCTCACCCGATCTTGGCGGGCATGTAGAGCATCATTGGTACGACCGGGGAGTCGGCGTTGCCGTAGATGATGAAACCCATTTCTTGAAGCCTCGTGCGGAAGTAGACTGTGTTTTGTGCAAGCTGCCGCACTCGCTGAGATCCTGGGGATAATGTTCATCATGGCAGGAAATGTTTTAACCACCATCTGTATCATATTAATGCATATTTAATGATCGTCTTAGCTTTTCTTTACAGCGTTCTGACTCCTGTTTCCTCAGTCATTTAAATGTAAATATCTTATTTTATTGCCTAATGCCTTATTTATGAGCAGATCATATTTACAGAGCACTGCTGCAGTATGCATCTCACTCCTGTTTAGAATAATTTGGTCATAGAATTTAGAGAATGAAAAGAAATTTATATATACCATATTTTTCGGCCTATAAGTCACAGTTTTTGCATAATTTACATGCCCGGTAATTTATACGCCGAAGCGACTTAATTAAGGATTTTTCCCATATTTATAAACCAATTTTTGGCTGAGATATGACCGTTTTCATTCATTCTGACTGAAAATATTGGACAGTTTCATTTTCAGCTGCTAGATGTCGCTCGAGAATTATGGCATGCCGTTGTGTCATGTAATAGGTAAAAGTGGCCATTAATGACACAGTCTGCTTGCCATAACCTGCCACCTTCGTCCAGCTCGCCTGGAGCAACTGTCAAATCAGCTTCATTTCGCTTCGCCGTCCCAGCGAAATGCAGCTAATGTGACCATTAAAGTGTTTTTAATAAGTAAAAGTTTAACTGAAACACAACTTTACTATAATTTTGAGCAAACAAATAGTTGTTTTTAGGTGGTTATCTTGTTAAATTTCGAAGAAATGCACAGCGAGTCCTCCCGTGCATCTAGTCTGCGTCAGCGGTGACGCAGAATAGATGCGACTTACACTGCGAAGCGACATTTATGTTTTTTTTCCCCCACTTTAGACATATTTGGATTGATACAACTTATACGGCGGAAAATACGGTAAATGCCAGAAAGGGTATAAACAGAACAATGAAAAAGTTTATTCTATACTGATTCCTTCTGGAAGGCTAACAGGAAATTATTCCGCAGCGTGTTGAAGAGTCTTTGAAAAGATGAAAGGGGATGTTTGACGAGCAGCTGAACACAACTGCATTCATAAGTGTGAGAAAATGTTGTCAGAGCTGCAGCACCCAGACACCGCTGGGTGATCAAGTTTTCACGTTTCTCTGAAATGTAATTTCCTTCTCTCACGGGAGAACAGGAGATTGACTGGCCGCTTTGAAATCTTCTGCTCGCATCAAAATGCTGCAGAACAAACTGTCAGCGAGCTCATAAATTCTGTTTCACCTGCAAACGGAGCACGGCTGGATGCAGCAGGAAATTCAGCAGGAGTGAAGGAAAGACGGTGTCCAGACCAAACGTCATTCCATTCATGAACGGGTTACAAAAAAACATTTGCCTTTTGTGCAACACGTTCCTGGTTCAGCCACGTTTTAGGTGTTATTTAATCAATCGTAGTAAGACTGAAGTCTGCACTGCCTGCGAAGTTAAACTTAGGGGTCTAAGCATTTTGTTTGCATTTAAAACAGTTTCATTTAAAATACATAAAACATCCCATATTTCCAAAACGATGATTTTCTGCTTTCATTTCTGAAAACCAAGTCAAGCAGTCTAAATATAGCTGTGTGGATGAACAGTTCAGTAGATTATACTGACCCCTGGTGCTGAATGATGAGACTTACAAAAGACGTTTAACCCCCCCCCCCCCAAAAAAAAATCTCGTTTTCATTGCAGTCATTTAAGATTCATGCCAAAAGAGCAAACCAAATACATTTTAGGCATTTTAAAAAATGGGAAAAAGTGACAAAAAAACAAAAACATACAAACCTTACGTACCATAATTACTCTGAATAAAATGACTGATGTTAATACATTCTTTGCTCAAAGACATTTTGTCTTAGGATGAGATGCTCTTTGCTAGAATTAATCTTTTACTGAATCTGATCTTAGTCTATTTTCATATTCAAGCTGTTTAAACTCTCAGATGCTTTGTTCACATGCAGGAGAAAATACTTAAGTATTCTTTCTATAGAATTAAAAATGTTACAAAGTAAGCATTTAAGGGACATGCAATTTATTTGAGGATGGACAGGCAATGTTTTCTTTCTGCCAGACAAAAACCTGACGTTTCTATTTACCGTATTTACATTTGCTTTTTTTAATACTGTTTTTACGATAACTTCAATTTAAATACTTCAGTAAATAAATACATTAATAATAACAATAATAATAATAATTTACATCATGTGACCACGCAAAGCTCATTTATTAAAAACAAAAGGACATTTTTCCCTGCCCTGGAATGGCTCCCCCCCCAATAAATACAATGTTTCTGCCCGACAGTGATGATATTGAAGTTTAAATTCATCACTAGATGTCACTAAATTCTTTCAGAGCTCTGGTCTAAATGTCACCTGAGCTTTGTTTCCAGAAAATTTCCACTCATGTGAGGAAAAATACATTTATCCACATGTGGACTTACCTATGGTTGTTCCATCTTCTCCCATAATGCACTTCATAGAAGTGATGATTTGCTCCACCACAGGAGGAGACATGGAAGTGGCATAAACTGCACTGTGAGAATGGGAGCGCAGGTACTCGATCAGCTCCTAAACCCAAGAGACACACAGATTATTGCATTAACACATGCATGGGGAAAAAAAAGAAAAGAATTATTCTTCATTCTCTTGTAGCATGAAGTGTGTGGTTTTCAATAAATCTTCAGTTTGCTTCAGTTTAAGTTTAATCAGTAAAAAAAACTTACATGAAACACTGAAAGAGCAAATTACAATGAATAGTTGGATATTGTGAAACTAGACTGAGCTGTTTATTTTATTTTAAATGGTTTATTAAAGCAGCATTGGTGAAAAAAATACATTTCTACAAGAAGCAAATTCAATCCTCAAACTCTGATAAATAAGTAAAATAATAATAATAATAATAATAAAGATGCTGTTGACATCTAAATCACTGAGATTAACAGACGGCTACATGCTGCTAATGTCTCAGAGTAAAAAAATATTCTCCGACTCAGTTCTGTTTTGAAAGCTTAGAAGTTTTAAACGTGAATAAACCACAGACCGATCTGATCTTATATAATAACCGCACTGATACACTGAAGAAGCACAAGCTTCCTTTTGTCGTGAACTCTTCTTCAGTTAAAATGTCATATTTATAGTTGGTTCATAAACGAGGAACTATAATCCAACATATTCAGATTTCATATTCTGCCTGCAAAAACAAATGCAGTGCTCAGAAGACAAAATGGCAGCCTCACCCTTTTCCCTGCAATGTATCCCCCTGCAGCACCAAAGCTCTTGGTGAAGGTGCCCATCAGAACATCCACATCACAGGGGTCAAGACCGAAGTAATCCACCACTCCTCTTCCCCTCTGACCCAGAGCCCCAATGCTGTGGGCCTCGTCCAAGTAAAGGTAGGCCCTGTAGCGCTTCTTCAGAGCTACAACCTCTGGGAGGCGCACTATACTGCCCTCCATACTGCAGGGGAAAAAAAAAGTAAAAAAAATCAATTAGAAGTTCCATTAAAGAGGTTTCTGTTTGTTATTTTGGCAAATTACACTGGCAAAGGACCAGTAACGGCATCAAAAATAGAGGTTCTAATAGTTTAATAGTTTTTTAAATCAGTATAAATCTTTATAGATCATATTGCTCCCCCCCACTCCCGATGTCACCAAGTGCTTGTGTGCAAGTTTTTTTTTTTTTTTTTTTTTTTCAGGCTATCCATCTTCGGCTAAAGATAGAGAGCCTGTTAGGAATTGTTTTTTTGCCCCCCAAACCTATGTTGTCACCTTCAACACTTTTGTTTGTCAAAACAGGTCTCACTTGTAAAAGAGCCTTCGAGGCTCAATGTGATTTATCTGTATAAATAAAGGTTGAATTGAATACGGTAAAAAAAAAAAAAAAAAAAATTAAGACAATAAAATGAGGAAAAAAAAAATATACTGTAGAAAAACCAGTAGCTACCTGTAAATGCCCTCTACAACTATCAGGATCTTCTTCCAGGGTCTGCGCGTCCTGGGCTGACCGTGAACTATAGCTTCTCTCAGCAGTTTCTCAAGACTCTGCATATCTGACAAATACACATCAACAGAAATGTTAAAGGAGAGAGGAAAAGCTTTCAAACGGCACCGTTTGATTTAGTTCAGATCAGGATAACCTGTTTTATGTTCGGCTCATTGTTTGCAACGACTAACTTTAATGATGGAGCGAAGATGATTTGAAACCATGTGCAGTTTGTTAAAACGTCTGAACGTTCACATCTATTTTTAAAAGGATGTTTAGTTTCCTATTTGTGTGACTGTTTATGAAACATTTATACTATCGTGATCCATTTTTCTACATTTTTTGGCATCTTTCTCGTTCCACAATTTTTGTGCTATTTCAACACAACATGTATCAAAACCTTCAGCTCCTACAGAAGGGTGTTATGACTTTTGATATTGGTGCAACTTTAGCTTTTTGAAATATTTAGCCTTTTCTGCCATTTTCCCTCATAGAAAATCAATTTGAGCTCATTTTCCATCCTTCATCTCTTTAGATCCGTTTACAACCTTTTACTGCTTTCACATTTTGTTCTGGTTCAGCTTCTTTCAGCTTCCTTGTGCAAATTTCAACTTTTTTTTCAGCTACTTTCAGCTGTTTTTTTCATATCTTTTTAGCTTCTTTCTGATTCTTTCAGCTAACTACAACATTGTGCTTCTTCTAACTTATTCCTGCTAATTTCAGCTTGTTATGCTCTTTTTATCTTATTAATGTAAGTTTTTAGCCTTTTTCTGCTATTTAGCTGTTTTTCTGCTAATTTTAGCTGTTTTGGCTAATTTCACATTTTTTGCACTCATTTGAACTTTTTCAGCCTAATTCAGAAAAAAAAAAGTGCTCTCCACTTCCTTCTGGTAATTTAAGCTTCTTTTGCCTTTTAGCTACTTTTCAGCAGTTTTTTGCTAATTTCAGCTTTTTTTCAGATAATTTCTACTTTTTTGTACTCATTTCTGTTGTTTTCAGCCTAACTGGGCAAAGGTGTTCTTTCTGTTAATTTACCGGTAAGCTTGTTCCAACTTTTCAGCTACCTTTTTAGCATTTCTTACATAATTTCAGCCATTTTCAGATAAATCCAAGTTTTTCATAGTAGTTTCTGCTACTTTCTCCCACTGCTAATTTAAATGCTAATTTCAGCTCGTTATGCTTCTTTCAGCTTTTTTTCCTACTAGTTTCAGCTTTTTCTGCACATTCAGCTACTATTTAGCTCTTTTAATGCTAATTTTAACCTTTTCAGCCAATTCCACTTTTTTAGCTAGTTTCAGCTCTTTCTACTTCCTTCTGGTAGTTTAAGCTTCTTTTTGCCTTTCATTTACTTTTCAGCTATTTTTTTGCTAATTTCAGCCGTTTTTAGCTACATAATTTTGTGTCAGTTTCTGCTTAATTAAACTTAATTCAGTAAACATGCTCTTTCTGTTTTCTTCTGCTAATTCAGGCTTGTTCTTCCATTTCAGCTACATTTCAGCACAGTTTTAGCCAATTTCAGCTGTTTTTCAGAAAGTTCTGCAAAAAAGCATTCACACTGCATTTTTGCAGGAAATGCAATTTCTTTAGTTTGATTTGCTTTGGTGTCTGTCGGGTAGATGGACTATTTTTTTTAATTTTTTTATTGAGTTTTTTTTTTACAGAACAAGTCTTAGAAAATATTTTGTTGAACATAAAACATAAATAAATTATTAAAACATAGCCAGCAACATAATAAAGGAAAACTAATAAAACTGTGTTTGAGACAAGAATGCACATTGAAGGAATATGCATATGGATTTATAATAAAGAAGAAGACAGACTTCGTTTGTGACTTACTGTTGTGCTTAAATACTCTAACGGTGGACCCGGACAGTCTGGCTCCAAGGACCAGAGAAGCATGGTTCAGCTCATCACTCAAGATCAGACAGCCCTGCAGAACATCGGATCACAGACAAAAAGAGATTCATGCACAACTGATTTGTTTTTATCCATTCAAATACTGGAATCTAATTATTTGTATAGATCTGTGAGAGAACTACAGGAAGAATAATAGATTGCTCTGTTTGGTGCAGGACGACACTATTGTTGGAAATTTAAATCTTTACCAGAGATTTTGTTTTGCGCCACAACAGAAGCAGTCAGATGTTTCACACCTACCGCCCTTAGCTTACACTCAACCGTAAAAATGCCAAATGTGATACGCAGTTGCATGACCAAACAAACTGCTCTGACTTCAGGTTTTTTTTCTTTCATTTTCAGTCCTGCAGAAACTGTTTTGAATATGATACGATGGTGGACTCTTTGAACAGCTATGCATTTGTTTCTAGTTGATCATGATAGCATCAAGTTATGGAATGATGGTTTGTAAGCAGCTATGTGTAATATTGTAAACTTTACTTCAGATATGCACGAGTGCCATAGTGGCATGAAGAAAGCAAAACGTCTAGATGGTATCTGAAAGATAATGAGGAATCCAACCTGCAGCTGTAAGAAGCAAAGCCAGAGTCTAACCTTGCCAGTGAGGGCAGGTATGTTCATGGAGTTGGTTGCAAACCCCATTCCAAAAGCCATGGCTGACTCCACGCCGAGGAACTTCGCCGCCAGTTTCTCCATCTCCTCATGTCTGTCCAGGTTCCCTAAAGCCCAGACAGATGTTTCAATCAACACTTTAAACTGAGCCTCTCAAAGATTTATGTTTGATATCACACCATGTTGTGGTTATTTCATCTTAAAAACATATAGGGATCAGTAGCGATATCAAAAGAACCGAGTGTCTGTACCGATTTCCTGCCTAGTGCTCGCCACGCCGACGCCATATGTCATGGTGACCTCGGCTGCCGCCTCAGCACATGGACCTGTATTCTCTGCGAAGCCGAGGTAATTATATGAGCCCAGGTTAATCACATCCTTCACTACCCGACCTGTGTGTCTGTAAGGAGCGGAACATACACAGAAAGCAAAAAACATTTAGAATGTACATAGTACAACATTTATAAGGTTTTCCAGCTTTTGGTATCCGCTTTCAACATCATCCAGTCCGATTCGTTCCGTCTCAAACTTGTCCTAAACTCTGACAAAACCAAAAGGGACGATTTTTCAAAAAGGAAGTCGGTCTCAGCAGTTCTTCCTTCGAATGGTGTCCCTATCGAGTTTGTGATTCCTACAAATATTTGGGTATTTTGGTCGACTCGCATCTCTCTTAAGCTCCACGTGGAAAACTTGGTAAGGAAACTGAAAGTTAAATTGGGTTTCTTTTTCAGAAATAGATCCTTTCTAACTGATGCTAGGAAACGTCTTGTAACTGTGACTTTCCTTCCCAAGAATGCCTTCCAAGAAAGGCTTTAGGCTTTAAACCACATTGACTGATTGATCATGCTTTTAAATTTAGCACATTTTGTCAATTCGTTGCACAAGTTGGAAGCATTCAGGTCTCTCTTGTAAATGAGTCCTCGGGGCTCAATGCGACTTACCCGTCTAAATAAAGGTTGAATTGAAAAATTCACGCGAGGACTCGCATGTTTCAGTTTGAAAATGTTGATTTCTTACACGAGTAAAATGGCAGATTTCAAAATAATGGAGCCAATCTCTAAAAAAGGTTCTCGCACATAAAAAAAAAAAAAGGTACAAAACTTGTAAACAACTGGGCGTTTTAAAGAGAAAAACATAAAATAAAATAGTTTGGGTATAAATTTAAAAATGTCTTTACAGTGTTAAATTTCTGATCAATAAATTTAGAATCAGAATAAGAATAAGCTTTATTATCGTTGCACCGAGATACAGCGAGCACATGTACATGCAGTCCTCTGAAAGATGGACGGAGTGAACGAAGCTGCTGATGTAAGCGCGGCCTCGCTTATCCTTGACAAACGGGGAGATCAGACCCTTTAATCATAATATAGAATTTATTAGAGACCGGCCGATATATCAGTAGGGCCAATATTTTAAGCCGCTAAAGGCATTTGGAGACATATCTGTATCGGTGATAGTTGTCCTTACTTGCAAAAGGCGTAATTGCAAATTTATCCAGCAGAGGGCGCATGAAGACTACTTTCAGGTCAACTTTCACTTTCAGCAAAGCCGAAGAAGCGAACAAGACTGCGTAGCATATTTTGCTGAACAGTGTATAGTAAGTTTATTTATTTATTTTTTTAAATAAACAATTTCTACAGTCCTCCAATCCGCTTGTCATTAGCTACAAGCTTCTCAAGTTAGCAAGCTAACGTCTAGATAACGTTAGGAAGATTGTTTCAAGACTTCAAGTGTTAAACAGTTTTAAAAGTTGCCGTTTACTTCAGATTCTTGAGGATGCACAAAGCTTAAAAAAATTCAGCCATTATAACGGTTATTGGCATTCGCCTGCCCCTCTCAACATCGGTATCAGCGATAGCCAAAATTCCCATATCGGTCAGGCTTTACAATTTATATAATGAAATACCGCTTCTTAAATACCTGAAACTTAATTCCTAAAGCACCTTGTTATGGTCATAATTACATGTGATTATGAGACAGCAGCTTCAGTTAAGAGTGTGCATCAAATGGAAGTATGATTAAAACAAACAAGACAACCAGTACATCAGTGGTTTGTCATGACTGCCAGTACCAGACTGGATGACTTTAGCATTTCTGGAATTGAATTCTCTTCCAACAGGTTCTGGAGTTCTCAAAATATTTAAAAACCAACAAAAAAACCAAACAACAACATTTTTCTAAATGGAAACAGCCTGTTAATGAAAGAAGACTAACTACAAGTTACTCATGAGTTCACATTATTTTATAAAAAAAAACGTTTTATGACCATTTGACATTGAGGACGACGAGCTAAAACAGCAGAAACAATAAGTCTCATATAAAAGTTAGCATATTTTCATCAAAGTGAGTGATTTGTAGGACTGTTCGACTGCTGCTGAGCTCTGGACCAAAGAGCAGTTCATCTCAGGGCAGTTCGTGGAAAAGATATGTGTGTTATATGAACTGAAAATCAATTCATATGAGGTTACGTTCTTAGCTATGGGCCCAGTGTCTCCTAAACTAATTAGCCAGTACTAATTTTAGAGAACCTATTGATCATTTGTTTGGACAAATAAAAGATCCAGTCAGTTTACAGTGATTTGCAACTTTCTTAAAAAGTCTGATTAGTGCCTTAGTTTGGCATCTCAATAAGAGTGCAGCTCTTGGTTTATTTAAAGGATGAATTAATTTATCCAGTCCTATGTTTAAAGTTGTTTTGGGTCATTTTTAATCAAATTGTCACATTTCATATTACCAAATCTGCATTTTCTCCTGTAATTATGTACCTGAATGCTTCACGGTTTGCATGCAGATAAAAATATTTAGACTTTTGATAAAAAAAAAAAACGTGTCTCTCACTCAAAAGTCCAGTTGTAGTCGTGGGAGACTCGCTCCATCAGGTCCATCTTGGCTCCTGGGACGCTGCATATGGGCCTGTTCCAGTTGTCTCTTATCCTCATGTAAAGGTTTCTGGTGTAAAAGTTCTCAAAGTCCTGGTAGAGGGGCACAAAGTCCTAAACAGGGAGGAATGCAGAATAACATTCAAAATGGAGGAGTTGGAATTGGCAGAACATGAAGGAATTTGAGCTTAAATTGCAAACATCAGTTCCACATCGTGATAATACTGGAGCTACGTGCCCGTCAGGCTTTTAGAACTCAACTCTGGTGAAAATGTAAACTTGAATATTTAATTACATTTTTTTTTTTTTTTTTTAAACCAACACAAGGGAGAATGTGGTGGTGTGGGGGGGGGGGGGGGGGGGGGGGGACGGAAAAGAAATACTTGGGTGAT